CATATCTCCTAACAAAGTGGCTAGTACAGAATGTAAAAAAAGAGAATTGAAATAATGAGGGCTTTTTCCTCCTTCTACATGCAAATTGTCTCATATTCCAATTTATTTCAGTACAAATTTATTCTTGCATATGCTAATACATGGCATTGTAAAAAGAAAAAATATTTAAATGCATTATAAAACATATGGAAACATACAGATTATGTGATCTTTAGTAAAATCTATCTTAATGATGAAGGCACCATTTAGCATGCACTCTGGAACTGCGCTCCTTCATTTATTTATGAGTTCCTGTAGACAAAGAAAGTATCTTCCAAAAATAGGAATACCATATTTTCAAGGCATACTGTGTATTTTATTTTTGAAACTAGTAAATGTCAAACAGTATTCATACACAGTATTGACACATTAATGTTTTCATTCAACAGTGAAGATACCTTTCCTTGTTACATTATATATTTATGACACAGAGCTGTCAAATAAATTATGTCAAAGCAGCTACAGCCAGACCTTGTGACACTTGAATCATAGAATCAGGGCAAATAACCTTTAAAATGAAAGACATATGACAAGAATTAGAAACATTTAATTTGCATAAATGTAATGTTAACAGTCTTTTCCTTATTACATATTTTATGCCTAATTTTTAATTGCCTTTATACTCATTCTTTAACATCAGTTTGCTCTCTCTTTTTTTCCTCATTGTTTGCTTTGTTTTGGAATGTGTGAAACAAATTCTATAAGAGCATATGATCAGATCACCATTTTAATATACTCTGGTTATCAAATCTTAAATGTTGAGAAAAAGTCTTTACTCACATGATATACTATTTAAAATGTAGAATAAGTTCCTAAAAATAACTAAAAATTCCTAAACACATCAAGTAAATATATAATCTCTGATAACTTTGGACCACCTCTGCAAAAAAACCCGTTGTATTTAAGTTCTCCTATGAAGTGCAGAATACACCAAATCTGCAGAATTTAAGCACTGATTTGCAAAAGCTTGGTGACTCATACACACTGAATTTTGCAATATAAAATCTGAGCATGTAAGTATACATACAGGAAGCAAAATGAATGGTTAGATTTTCAGAATTGCTTACCAAGAGTAGTAAACTCATTAGTTTCATTACTTGAAACCTGTTTGCAAATGAGAGACTTCCTCAAGCCTGTGCTGGCAGGTGCTGTCTCTCTCTTGCTTTAGAAATCACTGAGGACAGAGCAACTCCACAGTTTGCTCTTACTGCTAACACTGCATAAGCTCACAGATGTAACCACACTTGATAAAACCTTGCATTATTCTGAAAAGTCCCTAGGGATGTTCAAGCAAACAAAGCTGAAGGTACAAAGATGAATGTCTGCAGCAGCAGGGCACAAATAAGTAAACCCCTTTATTGTTCCTGACTGTAATTCCCAACTCCATTGGGATAGTGTGGCCAGGCCTGCACAGCCATAAGGACACACAGACTTTGTGCAGGCTATTTGCTACAGAATGAGTTTGGCTTCCTGGGCCCTTCTGGATCAGAAGAATAAGTATGGTTTATTGTAATTATGATATTCTTTTATAGTAACAGCAGTTGGACTAGATGATCCCATTGGTTACTTTCCAATGTTACTCTATTTAATTTTATTCCATTCCAGCGAAGCTAACTGTGATGTTTTGGGTTGAGCTTCCATGTATTTACATAATAATTCTGAGAGACAGATGAAAGCCAGTGGACAATCTATATAAAAAAGCATTGAGAGAAGGGTAGAAATTGATAGTGGGGATTGCCTCCAAAGCTTAATCCAGAAGTCTTAAGGTGTTTCCTTAAATCTCCACCAAAGAATTAAGCTGTTGTCAGTTGAGTCTGTCAGTGGCACAACCACACCATCAATAGGGATTTGCAAAGAGCAACTCGGGGAGGACATGAAGCAACTCCCATCGCACCAGCAGACCAGCCATGACCTGGCAGTCCACGAGGTCTGATGGCAATGGCCTCCTGGCCATTTGAAAACAGGAAAGGTGCAGTCACAGGTTTTAGTAAACATCAGTAGCTCAGAAGGGTGGGTGGGGGAGAAACGGAAACTGTGTCAGTGGTTTGTAATTTGAAATTTTTTCTTCCAAGTCAATGGTAAAAAAGAAATGACGCTCCATCCCTCACTGCCCATAGTTGTATAGAGCAGTTCTATTTTGACAGAGCTTAAACTCAGTACAGGTATTGTAGAAGAAATTGAAAGAGCAGCTATCTTCACATGCCCCTTAAACACTGTTCTGCTGAGAAACAACTATCCTAAGTGATGCCACTTGCCAGACAGGGAATATAATTAACAATGCATACTCTCAGAAACAGAAAGTTATTTAGACTAATTATATATAGCAAAATAGATTACAGAAGTATTACACCAAATCCCAGTGTTGGAAGGTTGGAGCTAATGGGAGATAAATGTTCATCCCTAAACCAGCCATTAAACTGATCAAAAATTATTTCTATTGAAATCAATAAAAATTAGAAGCTATTTTGATAAGCACTACAAAATTGATTATTAAATGCAGAAGGTTTCTTAAAAGGCTAATACTACAAGGAATTTTAAAAGCATCTGTGTTGTTCCATTTACAAGATCATTCAGAATAAAAGTGAAAGTCTCTGGAAAAGTGATGTTATCTTTGCTAAAGACCCTATTTTTTACAATTTCATTAATCAACTAATCTATAAATTTTCAGAAAAAACATTCAGCTGACAAAGAACAAATGCTGAACCTAGTAGAAAAGATACCATTTATTCATTTATTCAGTTTGCAGTTAAGTAGAAATCTCCATTCAGCTGTGACATAAAATTGATGCTTCTGCGATTAAAGTACATTGTAAATAGTTTCTAAAGTGTTAATAAATTACTAAAACTGTTTCAAGAAATTATTAATCAAATGTTATAGCCTGTTACTGAGTCCAGTGATGTAATGAGCCATTTGCAGTCAACTATAGCATCTGAAATTAATGTGATTGGGACAATATACAGAATTTATTTCTCCTGCATATAATGAGTTTCTCACTTACCAGCTTTTTGCATAGTAATTACCAAAGCAGTCTCAAAAGAACTTGTACAGAACATTTCTAGTCCTCTGTGGGACAAAGGAGGGAATAACCACAAGAGTCACTCATAATTTAAAGGGCAAGAAACCCCATGGCTCTCTCCCATTATCAACTACTAGTGTGGAGTGACCAAGACTTGAGGAAAAGCATATTAATGTCTTAACTATGCAGAGATGCAGAAGTCACTCCATGAGCCACTTCATCTCCTGCAGGCATCAGCTTTGGGCTGAGAGGGCAGGGAGGGTCCAGACAAGCATACAGATGTAACTGCTGCTGAAAATAGAATGCTTAGAGTTAGATTTTGCCTATATGTGTCAGCTGCACAAAGCCTCCTTGTACTTCCCTCCTCTCTGTAATGTATGATGGCTGTTACAGCTGTGCCATATTCATTATACCTATAGCTTCCATAGATTTTTTAAGCTGGTGAAAAAACCAAAATCCCCTACTTCTTTTCTCATTTGTTGATTCCTTTTTGCTCAACTCACATTTTACTGCTGGTGTTCACATAAGGGAACAAAGGTAAGAGGAGAAAAATCATACATAGAATCATAGAATGGCCTAGGTTTTAAAGGCCGCCAAAGATCACCTGGTTCCATCACCCTGCCATGTGCAGGGACACCTTCCACTAGAACAAGCTGCTAAAAGCTCCATCCAACCTCACTTTGGACACTTCCAGAGTCAGGGCATCCATAAGTTCTCTGGGCAAACTGTTCCAGTGCCTCAGCATTGTCACAGTGAAGAATTTTTCTAATTATCTAATATTTTTCTAATATCTAGTCTAAGCCTACTGTCTTCCAGTTTTAAGCCATTCCCCTTGTCCTATCACTACATGCTCTTGCAAATAGTCTCTCTCCATGTTTCTTGTAGGCTCCCTTCAGGTACTGGAAGGCCTTAATATGTTGCCAAATAACATGATAGCTGTGTGATAGTATGATCTAATACAATTGCTGACAACCCATAAATACAAACCAAATATTCAACCTGTGAGTTCCACCACCCGCTTTGTGTGCTCACACACAGTATACTGCACATCACACCAGGATTGTGGCTGAAGTGTGGCACACACCTCATGTGTCACTACCGTCACCTTTCAGCTGCCTCAGCTGAAGATTTCAACACCAAACAAATCACAGCTCAAAGTGGAAATGCAGACTGGAAATAATGTGGAAAAATGCTGGAAAAAAGAATAATTTTGGAAAAATATTACCAAATTTTCCTCTTCAGACTGAGCTAAAGAATACCTGTGGCTTTGAAGATGTAGCAAACCATAATAGCACAAGACAACAAATACAGAGGGAGGCAATCCAGTGTTCTTAGTCAACATGTATGTGCCTTTTCTGCATAGACTTGTGAGTTCTCTCACTGATCTGAGCATGCATTAAAAAGCATACAAAACCAATACAAAAAGTGAAAGCACATGATAGCTGTGATACGATGCTGTTACTGCAAATGGCTGTCTTGAACAGAGGAAAGAGTAAGTAAAGCTATTAGAAAATGTATGCATTGGTATATGCCTTGCTGCAGATACTGTATCAATTATAATAAACTCTTTTAAAAATTCATGTCTCTATTCCATACACAAAACTACAGATGCATATTACAACTAATGTTACAATAGAAGATACTAAATGAATGCACCTAACTGGTAAACACAGTACCTCGTGTCTGCTTTCTAATAATTTGTATCTAAACGTATATAAAAATATTTTATAAAACCACTATAAAATTGCATAAAAATTCTCTGAGTGATCACAGCTGAAAGATTTTCTCTCTGAAAGGTAGATCTGTCATTACTGAATGTACTAAATATATATGGTATACAAAAGATCATCTGTGAGATCCACTGGAGAAAAAGTGACGGAGAAGCCATGTTGTAGTTCATTTTGAATATGAGCAGATGAAACTTGCTATGCTCAATGGGTGGGCATCACACTTCACTCTGTTCACTGAACTTGCTGTAATTCTAAAATGAGAGAAACAGAACAAAAAAAGTATTATAATGTTTTCCTAGAATATAATGTAAAATTAGGATATGAAGGAGTGCTAGCTTGAAAACGCCACTAATATTTTAAAAAGTTATTTGTGATTAAAAAAAGTTATTTAAGATTAACTGCATAAAGTAATAGGCAAGTATCCTACCAATTTATAAAAATGAGAACAACACATTTTCATAGGAGCATGTAGATAAGAATGTCTTTTCTGAACAGCAGCAGAGATGAAAATGGACCACAAAGCCCTCTTACCTCTACCTTTCTGACAGTAAAAGACTATTTCCTGCTATATGGTGAAGCTGAAATGTGAATCAGAACAAATCACTTTCTCTTAGTCTCCAACTCCTTCCTCATATTTTTTTCTATCCTATTCTGCCTATTCTGTCATGTTAACACTGAAGAGTCCTACTGACCTCAGCACCTTAAAAAGGCACAGGAGGAGTACATAGACTGGTAGCTACAGTGTGCTGCTGCTATTGCAGTCACCCTGCCTTTTCACTCCTGTCCACCTTATCTTCAGGGGTTGAACACAATGAATACATAAAAATCCCTGAAGCACATACTGTTAATATTCTGAAGAAGCACCAGCAGTATATGTACACTGTTCATGATTACATTTAAAATTTGAGTTTGCATGTAAGCCTTTCAGACTAAACTGCTAAGCCACTATGCAGAGGTTTGACTTGCCTAGCAGCTCTGATAGAAACGAGCAATCAGTTCCTTAAAAAGTGCACTTTGAGTTTTAACTCCCCCTTTTCATCATGAACATTTGTCCTGGCCTATCCATGTTTCACTTCCATAAAATGGGAATGCTGGTACATAACTATCCTACGAGAATGTTAGGAAAGTTAATAATGTCAATATAAAAAGCAGACATTTTATAACACACCAATCATTCTAATCCATCTAATCAGACCCAGACAAAATATACAATAGCCAACCCCATTATTTTTGCCCTGCAGTTACCATTTCAATAAATTATTTTTTGTAGGACAACATAATGAAAAATGTTGAAAAGCACTGAAAAGAACATGTTTTTCTGGTCAATTCACTAGACCAACTATGCCAATTCACCTTAATCTGGATAAATCAATGGAAAGTGGTTTTGTCCATAGGCAAGTCTGATTTAATTAGTTAAATACAAAGTGAAGAACAAAAGACAAACGACCAAACCGCAGACCATGATGAGTTTAATGTCTCTTGGAGAAGGCTCTGAGCCAAGCTCTAGCCAAGTTTGAATCATAAATAAAACCATGGGAAAGCACACTGCTTTTAATGGACACTCACTTGCACTTCCATGATAGTGGAAATGGATCACATAGTTCAAGAGGATAGTCCAGGTTTACAATCTTTTTAAAAAGGAATGCAGGAATCATTAAACAAGTAAATAGATGCTCAAGCCTCCCTTCTCCCTCTTGCTGTCTGTTCTACCTCATGCAATTCCCCTCTTTCCACCTGTGAGCCAACACAGCAAGGTACAATGCAGGGCAGAGACAAGATTTCTAACTCAAACCAAACCAGCTGGGGATACAGAACCATTTCAGTCAGATCAGTGCTCTGATGTGTGAAGAGCTTCAAGCATCCCAGGCTGAGAAACAGGAGTGTTGTTTCAGTAATGCAGAACTGGCTGTGAGTTAATTTGTCTCACTGAGAGGCTGTGTTAGGTGTTTCTAGATGACATAAATCTTTCCAGTGGAGAATGAGCCCAGATTAAAGCACCACAACACAGCACCTCTGGATCTATCATAGAAGATGGAGATGTTGTTGCAAAAGGAGATGTGGTGATGGGAAGATAGTGCTAGCAGCAAAAAATGGAAAACTGCATTCCTCAGCCTGAGGACTAGTTGTAGATTACAGTCAGATAAAAGATTTCTACATAAAAGGTTCACTGGGTAAATAAGACTTTCCCAGACTTTAACAAATTGCTGTGAGCATCCAAGAAGCCCTCCAGGCTTCACCTACTCCTGCTTGTAAGTCTTACCCTGTGAATCTGAATGGCATCAATTGCTGAAGAAATAGATTCAAAAAATACAGGATTTTCAGAGTCAAGATTTCCACCATACTGCATTGCTTTTATCAAGGAGCCTGCAGTAAAACAAACACATGAGCACTGAGAAGGTAGTGAAGATATATAAATGATCATGTTAAATTTTTACTGTAAACTGATACTTGCCTTTGCAGTGTGCTAGCAACACATCGATGTATCTGTTTTTACAGTCCACGTAAATCTATATTTGAAAACAGGAAATTAAAAAAAAAAACTGTTTAAAATACCAACAGAGAAGAAAGTTCACAAAAAGCCCATATTCAAGGTAGGCAGAGCCCGGAGTGCTGCTGCAGCAGCTGTACTGCCAGCAGCCACCAGAGCGAGCCCTTCTATAATGCAAACATCACCAAACCACATTTATTTCTTGCCACTGCTTCACAGTACTCTACAGCTCTGCTGAGAATTAAAACGGAATTTGAGTAATAATTTTGCAATTTCTGACTGCATTTTTTAGGGGTATTACTTCCATTTCTCTTTTTTCAGCGTGTTTTCCCATGTCCTTACCAAATGTTTACTTCCGGTCCACAAAGACAGGACTCAGACCTAGGAAACTTTGAGACTTATATCAAAAAAGCACCATAGCTATCATGCTGCATTGAGCAGTAAGTTGTTCTTTATTATTTCTTTGAAAGTGTTCAACTCCCCAGAGAAAAAATATTAATAAGATAGAAAACAAAACCAAAACAAAACAACAAAAAAGTGAAAATAACTCTAAAAGCAGAGTAGGGCATTTTCCTGCCAAATGAGGAATATCCAAAGCAGTTACTGCTTCAAAAAAATGTTTAAATAATCCATGTGAAGTAGAAAAATTCTGGGAGGAGATTCAGTGAGAACCCCATCAGAATATTCTATTTTTAAAACAAAGCAAAAATCTTACTCAGTTCAAAAATCCTCCATCTCTGACATCAGTGATGATATTTTGGGAAGGAGTGTAACAAGGGCATGTTGAGTGTGGTCGTTTTGGTAGGAGGAGGAGTAACTTGGTTTTGGACCAACCGTTTATCCAGAGGCTGCACTACCAACCTGTGCACTTCACAGCCCATGCCAGACTTACCTCTCTCAAATTTGTCAAACACTTCTTTGACATAATTTGTAATTTGGAGGTCTCTAAGACCTTTTGAAAATCAGTTTCACAAATTTTTAAACTAATACAATATTGGATGCCCAATATTTCAAACGGATATTAGACTATCAGTGACTATTGTTCAACAATTAACAGTCCTACATGATTTGAGTTCAGACCAGAGCAATCCAGGTCAGTTTCTATCTCTGATGAACTCTTCCCAGTACGAAAGGATAGGAAAAGTACTAATAGTTAATAGTCACTCCCACTAACCTTATTTTTCCAGGTTTTTTTTTCATTATATCCTTGCCTGTATGTGTAGTTTTAATTTAAAACATTTTAAGGCAGCACTTACTTCACTGTGCAATCACTGCAGTAAATTGAGAAAATTGTTCGGGCAACAAGAGATCTGGGCCAAGACCCAAGTTCAAATCTAGCCCTTTATCTTACTCAGAAAAATTATGCAAACCAAGTCTTTCATACCCACTTAACTCTGTACTCACTACACAACTTTTAAACTCCAGATCTGATGGAAGCGTAAGAAACAGCTTTGAACATAATTTTTTATCCATTATATAGAACTACTTGTTATGTGAAACTATAGACTCATAAACTTGTTTCGATTGGAAAGGACCTTTAAGATCATCAAGTCCAAGCACTGACTTGGCATTGCCACTAACCAAGTCCACCACTAACCCATGTCTTTCCATCCACTCTGCCCCGCCTGTGGCACCACCTGGGGTTGTTGTGACCCGAGTGCAGGACCCTGCACTTTGCCTTGTTGAACCTCCCACAACTGGCCTTGGTCCATTGATCCAGCCTGCAGAGACCCCTCTGCAGAGCCTTCCTGCCCTCCAGCAGATCAACACTCCCACCCAGCTTGGTCTCTTCTGCAAACTGACTGATGGTGCACTCGATCCCCTTGTCCAAATCATCCCCAAAAATATTAAACAGGACTGGCCCCAAGGGAGCGCCAATTGTGGCCAGCCACCATCTGGACGTTGTTCCATTCACCACAGTAACCAGTGAATGCTGGGTTTATTCTTCTGGGAGCATCTTGGAACTCCTGCACTGCCTGAACCCAGTCTGCAACATGTGTTGCCCACAGGAGAAAGGATGGAGATCATGTTTTGACCTCTGGCTTAGCAAACAGTAGAATATACAAATAAAATCACAGAATTAGAGCTGAAATTTTAAAGCAGTAAATTTACTCATCCCTACAACTGATGTGGCAGGGTCAAATATGACGAAAAACCAACTTACAAAAAAGGGAAGAGTTCCAAAACTCCTCTTCATTACATATAGATACATAGATTTTTCTCTGTTAACCAATAGAATATTAGATTAGCATAGATTTGCTCTGTTACCCAATAGAAATATTTTAATGTAATTTTTTTTATATAAACACAGTACAATTCAATGCCAAGTCTGTGTTCATCTTTTCTATGGTTGAAAGATTTATCCAGTGACATAGGTGGAGTGACTAGTAGTTGGCCCAAATAACTCATATGTATAATTATAACATCTACAGATTGTTTCTAGTGTCATGAATACCTGAAGAAGCACGGAGACTCCAGTGTAGTCAAAGAAATTCAGTCCACTGCAGTCTAATATCAAAACATGTCGCTCACTGTGACATGGCTGCACCAACTCACCTACACATTTGATAAATGAAAACCTTTAATTAAAAGGAGAATACTCAAGAAATGGGTATAAGAATGATGATAGCTCAACAAAATAAGCCCAAACTATCACAATAAAATTGTCATTGCTATGTTCTGGGGTATCAGGAAAGCAAGTGCCATATTTTAGAAGAACAAATTGAAGAACCTTTAAGGCAATGCAAAGTGATGACAGACAGAATATATTAATGGAGATGTTTTAGGCAGCAATAGTGTCTCAAGAATTAAGCAGCTGCTTCTTCAAACTTGATTTTCTCATTGAGTTGGCTTCTTTGGAAGATTTTTCATGGTATAGACAGACAATTTATCTATTTTTTTTTAAGTTCTGATATGACACTGAATTCCATAGGCCCTAAACACCTGCCTATGGCTTAACTTAATATTCACCCGTAAGGAAGAAATAGATGTAAAGTGGAGTAATTAATTTTCCTAAGGTTTTACTATACTGGTTGTTGATTGGGTAATTTTTTAATACACAACTACACATTCATGCTGGAGAAGAAAATTGTGTTGGCAAGATTTGCAAAGTTCTTATACTCATTCTTCAACCTCAGGCCATCTTGTGTTTAATCAAAACATACTCTGTTCTAAATGCATCCTGAGCTAGCACATAGATAAATGATTCCTGGCTTTCATAAAGTGAAAACTAGAAAATACTGCACATCTTATTTACATTGTTCTGTGAACAAATGTTTGTTCATAATGCTCGCAACTGAAAAAAAAAATATGAAGGACAGGAATTCTGATTGTAAAGATGAGTAAGCTGAATGGCTTTGGCAGAGCAGAGGTAAAGATTTTAAACTATTGAGGAGACTTGGAATCTCCCCATGATGTAAATTTATAATGGTGGTAATTCCTTTCCGACAGTAGTCTGAGAGCAAAGACTTTTGGAGTTGCATGTCCAGACATTTACTGTCTCTGTTCTGTGCAACGTACATGAATAGATACATACAAACAAAAAGATAGGATTTTAGAGGGAACCTCCTGAAAATTACTGTGATAGAAACACAGAAGGGGTTCATGTGATCTCCCAGGTTCAGTGTAATAATTCTCTGCTGCATCCTGAATTGCAGTAGAGGCTGCCTGGCCTCTAAATGGGGGGATAGGTAAAGACCTGCACCCTCTTTGGATCAGTGGCATGAGCCAGAACAGCTGTTTCACTTGGTGCTGATACAGACAGTATTCCCCATAGGGAGAAAGGAAAGATTCTGATGAAGGCATACATTTTTTTCCATGTTTTCCTGGACAACTGCCATAAGGCTTAAGGATTGTGTCCTCATCTCCCATCCTTGAAAATTTAAGCTCCACATTTTGCTTTTCTTTTTAAAGGGATTTTTCTTTTTTCTCTGTTGTTGAAAAGACCCCATGAAGAATCACCACAGACTGGTTGATATAAGTAATGACAGCATTTAAGTCCTCAAGGCAGGTCTTAGGCATTCAGAAAAGAGGTCTTGTGCTTTCTGTCACTTTTGTATATGAGAAACCAGTTCATCTTCAAGATGACTGAAATATGTACTGGTAAGATCTCAAACATAATATTTTACAGTATAGTCAATAAAATACAATATAATCTTCAATAACCATTTTCGTAGGTTGTTATACTACAGCAAAGCACTCTGTCACCCCCAAGTTAACTAAACATTGTAGTACCATAAAAATGTCCTGAGTCTAGTTAACAAATGCAAACATTCAGATAACAGCCCCCAAATCAGGTTTTCTACTGTGGCTTTAATGCTTATAAGTGTTTTAAATAAACACTGTTTTAATTCTACCCGCAATGAAGTCATCTGTATAAAGTATCCACTGCAAAAGGTTGCTGCAGCTCTCCCATGGGAATGTATGTGCTCTGGTTTGATTTAAGTGCTACAAAATGTGGAAAGAGTGGGGTTTCCAGCTTAATCCTTAATTGAAAGAAAACCTCTAGGGGTTTTTATTATATATTGTATTGATATACTGTATAATATTGGTGGTTATCGTGTCACTAACAATTCAGTTGACATTTTCTGAGATTTTCTCCAATGTGGCTTTAAAGATCCCAAAGATTTAACATGGTTCTAATCTTATTTTTACTTTTTCATACTAATATACTCTGCATGCAAAAAACCCCCAAGACCAGAGCTTAGCAAAACAATCTCTTCAGCCTGATCTGAAGATGAGTCCAGGCAACAATATGGGAAGGGTTTCCCCCACTATGTACCTGTCTCTTTACACACACTCATTCCAGTGCAATAAGCAGGGACACAGAATCAGAGGATGGTCTGGTTTGGAAGGGACCTTAAATCCTCTAGTTCCAACCTTCCACTCCTTAAAAAAGGCACTTTCTAGGGGTTCCCTGATTTTGAAATCTTAGAAAGTCTGTCAAAACCAGAATGAGTTACAGGACTTATTAGGGCAAGGTTAGCATAATTTAAGACTGTTTAGCATTCATGCTTCATTGAATGTTTAGTCTAACTGAAAATATTTATTTCCACAAAACTTGTGTGCACCTAGAAATATATAGAAAAATGTGGAACTATTTTGCACACTTACATCCATCTTGGTTTTAACACCATTTGTAGATAATAAACTCACCATGGCAACTTCCATTGGAAAATGAACAGAGCAATGTGTTCTGCTCACACTGAAATAAAAGCAGCAAATTATTAACATACCAAGGAAAACCAGTCCATTGCACAGTAAAGAGAGAAAATCAATGCAATACATAAGAATTCTGTTTCTCAGTACTAAAGCTGACTCATTCTCTCCAATATCATGTCCTATGCAATAACCTGTTGGATGTATAATATTTTCTGGTATAACTTTAGAAGAATAGTGAGATACATACTCAAACTGATATTTGCATTTTTTTTTAGCTGGCTCAACCTCTTTCAAGCTTAGATTCACTAGAAAGCATATTTTGGACACAATGCTTTTGGGGAAGCAGGAGGTGGTTAAGAAGTGGCCAAAAGATGGGAAAAATGTTCTTGGCAAGAAAAAATCTTGGCAGTGATTTTATAAGATTAACTTTTGATTTATTTTCTACTTGCTGCAATCTCATCTGCTATGCTAATATTTTAGTAAGAACATTTTTGACATGTAAATTATTAAAAAATTACATTTATCTGGATAATTTTTTATAATGGTTATTTCAATATGTAAGTTCTCAGTAGAAACATGAGTTAAAACCAGACACAAAGCAGAGAAACAAAAGTGAAACTGCATTTTTTTTCACACCCATTATGTGCTGCAGAAAGACATTTACTCAACAACAACAAAAAATTTTAAAAAAAGGCACAGTGTTTCAGGCAGCTGTACTGCTGAGTACCTTACAGAAGAAACAAAGGATAAAATCTCCTTTATAAGTAACGTACAAATTAACTTATTAAATTGACTCAAATTAATTCCATGGAAATCCTAATTTCTCTCTGTTTGGAGGCTTTTTATCATACTAATCCAAATCAGTCAGCCTAGCAAAACCAAGGGAAAAAAGCACCACATTTTCTGAATTTCCACCCATCTAAGTACATACGGGTAGCACAACTCTTTGTCAAGGACCAGCAGAGGTGGGAGACACATGTTGCTGTCTTAACAACCCATCTAAGACACAGCTTGGATTTTCTCAGCCCAATTTGCCAAACTGGATGAAATTGTCTACAGTAAGCATTGTATCATATTGGAATGTCTTCATGGCACTGATAGAAAAATGATAATTTATCTTTTCCCTTTTAGGAAGTGTTGCAGGAAGTTGCAGTAGTTATGTGCAGATGAACTTGGAAAATACTATACTTACAGGGATATTCTCCAAAAATGTGATATACCTAATTTGTATACTGTTTATTTTTCTAAAACAATCACTGCAAAAGAGGAAAAAGAAGCAATACCATTGAGAAAAAAGGTAGCCACTTTCTTCCTAATGCTCCCCAAATTATTTATATTTAGAAATGAAGTGTCCATCTCTCAGTGACTTATCTCCAGGAAAAAAAAAAATCACATTTTATTCAAGCATATTTGTAACTACTCATTGTCTTTCTAAAGTCTCAGCCTTATATCAGCTGAGATTATGTAAGTTTTTCTAGAAATTTTTGAGTTTTGGATAAGTACTTCAATGTGTCTTACAGGATCACATGCAGAAATCAAAGAGATATTATTTTCAAGTAATAATACGAAAATAGTCCATATTGAATCTGATTAAGATTAGAATTAGCTTTATCCTAAATGAATAATTTCTAATGTTGCTTTTTTATACCTGTTTCAGTATCTGATTGCATTCTCTAAGAAATGCAAAGAAAGCAAACACAATCTTCAAGCCAGTCATGGTGATTACTGAAGCGTAAAGCACATCCCACCTTGTTTACAATATCACATACCTGGCTGCTCATGCCATCCTTCTGGATTATCTTTAACAGGTCAGCGTGAAATTTTCTGGCATTCAAAAAGACTAACGGGCTGTTGACTGAAACTATTTTTACCTGTTTTAGTGATTCCTGGGGAATGAAATAAACATAATGCTGAAAAGTTCCTCTTGGATTTAGAGAACAAACCCCAGACTCATTTCTTTAAAAAACCTGAAAATACCTGAGAATTAACCTAGGAGGAGCTTTGGATTGTGAGAATGATTTAACAGATAATTCTATTGATCAGCCTTCACACATCACTGAAGTAAGAATGGAAACACAAGTAATATATAATGAAAATTATCTATAATATTATTTAGCGTGAAAACAAGCATACACATTATGAGGCATAATACTAAAGAACTATTAGCTAACAATTATAATAGCATTATTTCAGTTGGTGTGATCCCCAAGCATAGGCAAGATAACATTCACAGACAGGGAATATATTTTATTAGACAAACGCATCTTGCAAAAAGTACACAAGGATTTAGGGCAAACACTGCAGGTGGTCTGGGGAAAGCTGGCAATATTCATCTTGCTCATCTGAAGATGACCTTATTACAGAGACAGTTCTCCATGAAAATATTTAATGGATACAGATCAACCTTGAGTGGCACATTTAAAGCTTTACCAGCATATTTCTACAACCGACACAATAATCTTCACAAGAACTCTTCATTGCCCTTGAGTTATTATTCACTAAATAAACTACAACCAGCTTACCAGCACCTTCAGTCAGACTGTGCAGCTCAAAACATAAATGTTACACAGCAGAACAATTTTGGAAAGACACCAGATAATGTTCCAAAACCCCCGGGTACAAGAGGGAGACATTTTGCACAAAACAAGTGCTATTTCTCTCACTCTCAAGGTGTACATATAAAACATCTTCAAAAGCCAGTAAGAAAATTAATATTTATATATAAATATATTGGACAGCAGTAAGACATGCTTAAAGACTGGTTTGGTAGGGGAACTTCTGTAGAAGCTGCTTCTACTGAACTCCCAATCTTCCACAGGTTGTGTGACAATGGAAGCAAAAATCAAGAATTTTCAAGAGAAAAAGGTCAAAAAATACTCTCTTTCTTCCTAACAAAAATCATGTAACAAGGTCACAGTCAAACACAAGTAAGTGGAGCTGACACGGACCATTTTTTAGGTAGTTAAAAATTGTTTGGGATTGCATTGAAGATATGCAGTTTTCCCAACAGACTTTCAAGCAAAACAGAAATGGAACCACAAACCACATAAACTATCTCCTTATTATAGACTGCTATTCAGACTTCTGGGAATGAGATGATCTCTCAGACACCACCACAGTGACCATGAAATAAAGGAAACATTTCAAACATCCCAACTGAGGCAAAGAACCCCAGACTATGTGTAGGGACTTTGCGCAATTTACCTATGGATGTGATTGCAGAAAATACCACAAATGAGTTTTGCCACAGTCAGATACATGGCAAAACTCAACTGGCAGTTAAAATGTATCTGTTTGTATGGAATAGAGCTCTAAACTAAGGGCAAAACAAAGCATGGTATATGCTTGAATGGAGAAATGCTCTGACATCCCACAGATTCCCACAAAAATGATGCTACAGACAGCTTGGTGTAGAGACAAGTGGACACAGTGCCATGGCAAAGTAGAAGATAAAAGATAAGAAAAAAGGAAGACTGATGTGCAAGATCAAATCCTGTGATGATCAAGCTTCCATAAGCACAAAGTCCAAAACTTGAAAGGCTCAAATCATAAGGCCAGATCAAGCAAATGGCAGACTTGGGTATAATTTTCGTCCTGAATGGACAAGGTCAACTGTGCCTAAATTTGACCAGCCAGTTATTCCTCGCTCTGGTTTGACTCTTTGTTGACAAGAATTGTTCAGAAAACAACAGAACTTCCTCTTTGTTTTGTCCTTGCTAAGAAAGCAGGAAATTCATCTCAGGTGTCTGTTCCTGCCACCCCTCGGAAGGCCTGGGGCGATTGCCCTGCGCACTCTGTGCAGCACTGCCTCTGCTCGGGTGCGAGTTCAGTGCCAGCAGACGCCTGGGATGAAATGTGTTTCACATAACTTTCTAAATACCCTTTGATTTTTTCCACATTAAAGTGTCTTTTCTCTTATTGATGAAATAACCCCTATAAATCCTTAATGGCAGGGTAGATCATTAAGCTTGCATATTTTCATGCTTAAAAGTCCTGTTGTTTATGTCTAATCAGTTACTTGCCAGGGAAACTTGGATCAGTCTAACATTCATACATTAAAAATTACCCTAAATGCCTGCTGCAACCCAGTGACTCTAAATTCAATTAAAGGCATATTTTCCTTCTTTTTTTTGTGTAATAGCTCTTGAGCAATTTGCTTCTCTAACATAATGTTATTTTCCCCACTGTCTGCAGACACTAGTTTGTTATTAGGTTACTGGCATTAATCTTACTGAATTAGGGGGGAAAAAAGCAGGGGACCAGCTTTTTAAGCTTAAAAAAAAAAATGTATAGGAATTTGTACAAAGTGCTTCATGGACCGATATGAAAAACAGCAGGCAAATCAAATTTTTGTTACCCATCTCTGACAAAGTTACTCCAACATTTTTATTAAGAATGAAAAGTGATATAATAATTGACAGCTGATCCAGCCTCAACAACAATGTTTTTCATTCACATTTCAGAGTCCTCCCCATTCTTATGTACCTTTCACATTCCAACGTTTCTCAGCATGCCAAAACAGTAAATTCCCTTGAGCCCTTGGAAGTTCAGATTTTTAGCCTAAGACAGCTCTGATGGAAGACATTTGCCAGAAATAATAAATTCTTTAAAGAAGATCTGCTTAATGGTGAAGCACTAACTGCTGAGCATGTAGTTTACTGATACATAAGACCCTCTATCAGCACTAAGAAGGGAAAAAGGACGTGGGAGAAACTGCCACAGTGTAAAAGGCAGGATGTCCTGGTGATGGGGCTCTGTGCTAAGACACATGGTTCTACTTCTCTCTTGGCTGCTGACCTGCCATTTCATCTTGGAGGAGGGAGTTCACCTCTCTGGGTCATTACCCTTCACTTCTTACCACAGACCTGAGCAAAAAGCAACTTTGATGATAATTGCAATGAAAATAACCAAAATAATCTGACTGGTTGGTTTTAGTTTGTAAGAAGCCAGATTTAAAAGGCTCAGTCTTTGGGAGAGATCCTTTCACCCATTTTTCATGTGCACAGGGTGATGAAATTTGTGAAGCAGTCTGTAACAATTTTGTGGTGCTGCCCTCTTTGCCCAGCCTTATGATGTCCTCTGGAACAATCTGGTCACGAGGGGTTGGTGAGAGAAACAGTTTCAGAAAATAGATTGGAGATGATAAAAATACCAAAGGACTTTCAGGAAAAGTGATAATAATACAGAGACTGCTATTGTCTGCTGAGATTGCCCTTGCCATTCCTGGCAAGATAGTTCTTTAAATTTAGGAATTAGGAAACACTGAGAAAGAGCAATTCATAACTATAAATGACAAATAAACTAAGATAGATAAATCTAAGAGGACTTGCCTAACTTCACTTTGCAGACAAGCAGCAGAACCATGAAAATATTCCAGTTTCTGATGGCCAGCTATATTATTATATTATCCTGGCTTTAGATTTCAAGTGGTCATATCATAAAAGCATTCCCTCGACTCCCCAATTACGATCTGGTAACTAACTAGAGAAAACAAACAAATCTGAATTCGTGAAACACACACACAAACAGAAAGTTAAAAAAGAAATTAACTTACACAATTATCTTCTGCTTTGTATTTGTATTCCACCTCTTTCATATTTTTCAAATTCAGTGTCTTTGCTCTGTGATCAATATATAGGGAAAAATCTGTACAGTTAATCATTAGTAGTCTTGAGCAGAAACAAAAAAGACACACACCCCAAGCTACAGCATAGCAGTTTAAAGGTCCAAAAATGCAATCTGGGAGTATTCTTGTGATTACAGACCTTATCTTTTCTGATAATCATCCTCTTAAACAGTAAAAAGCTCATTTTAGAATTGTGAGATCACTTTGAATATATGAATAATTAAATTCTCTAATTTGCTTATGAAGAATATCTTAATTTTAATTTTTGTTTGCTGGCCAGAGCTACTTTCAAGTCAAGGTAGCTCATATATAATCTATATCTTCAAAAGTAAAGAAGTTTAATTAATATTTTTAACCTGCAAAAATGATATTGTGAGGAAAGGGAAAATAAATATGTAGAACAGTTGTGGGTCATGAAAAACCAAGATATTTTATTTGTCATTGAAATTGACACATCTTTACATGATGAAGCAGAACATTGCACTCTAGCTATCAAAATGGGGGACTTACTGGAAAGCATCAGTATTCCTATGCTCTCTACAGAGAGGAAAGAGAAAATTGCTTTGGAAAGGGAGCTCAGTGTTAGGATCTTCTGATTCAACATGTCATTTACAGGAACACATTTAACTGCAGAAGACTATGGAACTATCTATCCTCTGAGACAGATGCGCCAATGTACAAGGAGTATTTGCAGGTATTGGGGCCAGATAAATGAGCCTTGCAAACATCAGCTGTTCTCTCATCTCTGCATAAATGGAGCTGTAGCTGCTGCTGCTTTTAATACAGTCTGATACATGACATGTACCACATCCAGCACTCTGACATCTGAACAGAAACTTTACAATAAATAATCTATGGTATTTTCCTTGCTTCGCTTCTGCTAACAATTCTACTCATGACTGCACGGCTTACTACTCATTTTCTTGTTAACCCCATCTATGCCATGCCAGTTTTAAGGCTGCAATCTTGTTCCATGCCTTTAGATGTTGTGGACAATCATGTGCAGCTTTACTGAACACAGAGATCAGTGGGAAGAGTCTTATTTACATTAATAAGAGCAGGTTCAGACTGAGATCTCCTCTACATCTGGCTCTTTTGTGTTAAATGTCCATCACTTTCTGCTTTTGGAGAGCCTCTAACATCCAGGCTCAGGACAAAAAACAACATGAAAACTTGCCTTTTACTTTTCTACAGAATTTATCAAAATTTTAGTTTGCTGAGTAGCACAATGTCATCACAAAAGTATCAGTTAATTCAAGCAGAAGCAATCTCCCATTATTTTTAACTGCCTTGAAATTTTGAACTATTTTCATGCTGGTTCTTTAACTTATTCTATGAGAATAAAGCTGTGCACAAATGTCTAACACCATTAACTTTAACAAGCATTTAATCGAGCTGTCTATATTGTGCTTAATTTCACTGGGATTCAGTGTTCATGCAAACAACTGCATGCAAGCAGCAAGTCATTTCCAGGACTGGTGAGCTGTGGATTAATTCTGTAGCACAAATCAATCATGAACCTCAGCTATATTTCCCTTGACTCGTGATCCAAAGTAGCAACTAAAAAATATTAATTAAAAAAAAAAACAAAACAAACAAAAAAAAAAACTTCTGATGGCTCTAGTTTATTTGTCCTGACTTTTCTAAGCCATGCACAGAACTTACACATTTTGTTAGACATTAGAATAGTTGTACAGTTATGTTTCATTAATCTATATTAGCAGTGCAATTGTTAACTACCAATTCCTGTGCAACATAGTACCTAGGAGTTTATAAAGGCTCTTAGTTACTAAAGCTTGCCAGACATACTTTTTCCTTAAGGAGCAAATAAATATCTAATGGAAAAAAAATATTATTAATCTTCCAGTTAATTTTATGCTACCTTCACGTAATGAATCCTACAGATGTGTAATAATAAAAGAAATCACAAAACAATGCCATTTTATAAAATGTTTTAGAGATTCCTTAGTCTGCGGTAAATGGACAGATGTGACTTTTACTTTTGAATTGTCTTATCTTGCAATTTTCTGCAACTAAAAACCTGAAGTTTAGTTGTTAAATTTAGTATACCGTCTGTCTATCCTGACTGTGAAGCAATATGCAGAAGGAATACATAATGAAGTGCTAGTGGAACATTTCAATAAATTGTTTCTTACCTGGGAAAGCGGAAAATCACGATTGCTATAGTGCACACAACGCCGTACAACAGTCCCACGTTAGCAGCAAAGCATATTGTAAACACATAGGTACTAACCCAGATGCTCTTTAAGGAGAGGAGCAAAAAGAAGTTATTAGTTTCAAATTTTATGGTAATGTGCATTTTATGAATCAGAAATAAAGATTTTTAAAATGAAGCTAGTTTCTCGGATGTGAACATTTGGATCTTTGAACTGGCAATACTGAAGACTGAATTAGCAATTAAAGTAATGCCTCCCCATGGGGGACCACATGCAGCATGGCACAACTCTTCCCAGTGCTCACAGAGGTTCCTTCCAGGGTTACTTAAAATAGCATTTGTACTGCTAACAGCTTAAGTCAGAATAAACTCAGTTGTTTTGGAAACCTGTATTTTATTTTTCACATTGCAAATTCTCATCACCTTCTTTGCTGCATAGATTTTAAATCCTCCTTTCCTTTCCCATAAAGAGGTGCCCTAATGAGGTCACATACAGAGAGCTTTTCTTCCACTAATCATACAAGTGGGAATTATGATTGGCAAGGAGGCTGATTAAAAGTGGCATTTATCAGAGTACAGCTGACTAAAACAACTCTATTACAAATAAAAATTACTGGGGAATTAATTCCTTCCCATGGATGGTGAGATTTCATATTACCTCCCCATCTTTCAATATTTGATTACTAAAATTTTGAATTAATTTAAAATACAAATTTAAAAAATACTCAGAAGCATATCTGCAACTAAGGTCACTTTAAAAAGAAATTTTGAAAAACTTTACAAATCTTTCACATTTCAATTTTTCCTTAATTATTTTCTTACCAGAAATGATTAGTTTTCTTTCCATACTACAATGATGTGTACAGCTATGAGACATGCAGATTTTACAATTAAAAGAAAAGTACAAATTACTCGATTTCTTATACCAACCTAAATGGTATAATAAAGCACATCTTTCTTTCCTTGAGGGAGCCTTAAGCCAAGATTGCCATCTAATCTTTATATAAAAGGTGTTAAAAAAGACTGGAAAGTATTTTTATTTCTCTGGATATACTGATCCCCACAGGTGCCCGTTTCAAGAATTACAGTGCTGCTTGTTCATGTTTGCACAATAACAGATCACATTTCAATGGCACAGTCATTTTTAAGATTATCTTTTCTGATTCCTTCACTTAACTCACGAAAGCCAGAGACAATAGAATACTTTCAGCCCAAGCACAGGTATTTTGCTTGAGCAGATTTCAGAACTGTTATTTTATGAATTATTAAGTGTAATTCATACCATGCTAACTTGTGCTTCACAGAGGACAGAGTGTTACGAGACTGTTGAGAAACCTTTTCCTCCCTCGTCTTCAAGATTCCTAACTACTGCAAAAGACTTTTCAGTTTCTTCAACAGGAGGGCTGCTAGGTAAGGAGGTAGTTCATCCTCTGAAACTGTCCCTAATCACTAGTTGTATTTTGACATGACATCTTATGTGAAGTGTTGTGCATATATTTGCAAAGACCACCTTTATGAACAACAGATATTGAGGTCTGATTAATGAATAAGAAAGTAATGCTAAGATTTATAAATCCAATACACATTTATAAAGAAGCTCACCTGTATGTGAAAAGGCTAACAGAAATACTGAAAACCTGAAAATCAGTGAGATCAAGAATTAGACTATCTTAATAAGGCTGAATCCTTGACAATACCTGAATCCACTCCAGTGCAATCCAGTTCAGCTGCAGACCTGAACCTCATCACAACTGACTAAATCACTGCTGCAAGCCTGCAAACTTCTTATGTCTCAGAAGAAAACAGCAGAAAAACTCAATACAAAATCTGCATAGGAAGTATCAAAGCCAGAAATGTTTAAGTACTGCTGACTACTGAGGAAGCTAGTTAAGTGCCTCTCCAGCAGCCTAGTACCTTACATCTTAACTGTAATCAGAGACTGCCATTGTTGTAGAGGCTGAGCCAAAACAATCATACTCTCATTAATCAACCACCCTTTCAGTGCTTTGCATTGGCCTGGAAATAGTTCTACTTTAATTAGGGTAGCATCAAACTTGTACAAAGATGTTCATCTGATAGACTTTTTTTTTTTTTTAATTCATGGTTATTGCAAAGTTCAACATAGAAGTGATAAAACTATCAAAGTTATCCTTGGCAGCTTATTTCAATATGGTTATTGCATACCCCAGTACAGATAGAATCTAAGCAATCTTCAGATCTTAGCAATAATATGTTATAGGCACATGCTAATATCAAAAACCAAAACAAAATCCACCTTCAAAGTACTGTACTAATTTAAAGAAAAACTCTAAAGAGGGAGAAAATGAACAAGCAGAAGAAATAGATTTTTGTCAACCCCTGTATGTATCAGAAAGTATCAGAAGCACTGAGGTACAGTGACTGTGTATAGCAGCTGCCTCCTCTAGACTTTCCATTTCATGGAGTCTAATCTTCCACCATTGATGACAGTAAAATCTGCATTTGGTAGGAAAAAAATCATATAAACAAGTTGCAGAATACTTTCTGAACCTAGGGCTAAGCCATGCAATGCTAAGGTACGGTGATAATAAGTGTTTATGTACCAGTTTAAAAGCAGATTATGCACTTGCCTTGTTTCATTACAAACTGAGGAGATGATCAGCTGAATTGCCTGAATGGGTAGGGTTCCTTGCAATACAGCTGTCTAGTCTCCTACCATAATCAATGGATTTGGTTATCAGAATGGATAAAATTTAGGATGCAGTTCATCTAACTCCTACCTGGTTATTAAGCTGTAGCTTAATGGAGGAAGAGATGAACATGTCTCAGCTGACCAGTTCTGTGCTGTCTGTAATGTGAGGCTGTGATGAGCTGCTCAAACAGAGGCCCTCCAGCATATAGCCAAAAGAAACCCATTAAAGTCCTGCTCATTCCAAAACTGTCTCAGCAGTAGATGCTGGAGTCCTGGAGGAGGCTCGGGCTCAAAGGACTGAGTGACATGGCCATGGTCCCACATCCTTCTGCAGACAAATGACTAATGTGTGCATTCATCCTCAGCACACCCTTCATGAAAACCTGGCATTCAAGTGAAGCCCACCACAGCCATAGGGCGGGAGCTACCTAATGCACTTAGGGACGTGGTTTAGGAGTAGATTTGGCAGTGTTGGATTAACAGTTGGATTAGATGGTCTCTAAAGGTCTTTCCCAACCTAAATGATCCTAAATGATCCTAAAGTGGTACTGTAGTTCTTTGATACCACCTACAGCACAAGTAATATAACTCACACTAGCATATTCACTAAGGCAGGAAAAACAGAAAATCTCCCTAGGATGCCATAAGATAGAATAATTGATGTAAAATAATTCTCATAGAAGAGATGGTTTCCTACTTTGTAGAGGAAAGCAGAGCAGAGCTCTCTCTTTGTAAAGCATAGCAGAGCCCTGAGAGCTCTCAGAGCCCTCTCACGAATCAGGACCCATGTGTGATGAACAAATTTAAGAGGTCATCTTCCTCCTGAGGATAGTACCTGAAGTTCTAAAAAACCCCAAGAAAATGCACTAATGAGCTCCAGATTTCAAGGAAGATCCTTTCTAGGCCCTTTTCTCTAAATGTTTTGACAAAATAGATTGACAGGTTATTGGATACATGTCCCAGAATTTCACAATGGCAAGATCTTGGAGGATACTTGTCAAAAATGAGACCCTCATTCTTGGATCTACTTTAATTGCTGAATTAGTAGCATTCCTTACGTCCTTTAATATTAATATATGTGCGTACAATTATGATTCATATTTATTTCATATTTCATCCATAACTGCCTCTCATCACAACACCATGTTGGGAATGTGTCATTTTTACCATAAATTCTGGCCATTCTTTCTGCTTTAAAAGTCAGGCATGCAACCTGACTTTGTCTCAGCTGTGGTCATTTTCTGGTCAAGACATATATGTAACTTTAAAACATTTTTTTTCTCTTTAAATGCCAGACTATTTCATTGCTGAACTTCTCAAATCCCTGGTATATAATTAACTCATGAAAGTGATCCTTATTCTGTTATAATTTTTCACTTAGAACATCACCTTCTGAAATATTTTCCTCCCATCTCTGGTTACTTTCAAGTCCAACTGTTAACAGCAAAGAGAACATTTTTCTTCAGCAGTCCATTTCCAGGCAGTATTTTTGCCTGTCTTAAGAGGCAGCTTATCTGTGATCCTGAGCTTTAAAATCAAAAGTTAACAAGAACTTCACTGGCCTTTTTAGTAATACTAGGAGAATATCACAGGTATCACCAGCCCTATCAAGCTGGAGAATAAAAACAGCAAGCTAGTAAAGTTGGCCTGCATAAGAAATTAGGCTTACAGGAAGGACAAGGAAATCATCTTTTGACCTGAGGACCTGAGAAGTGAGATGTATTTACAGACAAGGTCAGATTAGCTTCCTGGCTTTTCTCAAAAAAAGCAGAAAATAAGATCAAGACTAATCACTCCCAGTTATGCATATAACATATATAGTGGAATAATGCAGTTATTAATCTGAGAGTGTTGAAGTCATCCAGCCAAGGTGTAGGGACTGACAGAAGACCTTAACTGAAGCAGAAGACATTTGAAGTTCAAATGGCAGGAAAGAAACCTCTGGAATAAAGACAATGGGGTAGTAGCTGAAAAGTAATCAAATGTGATTTGAGAGGCAGGATGTAAATCTGAAAGAAAAAGCCACCCATGGCTGAAAGAAGACATTTCATAGAAACACAGAATATCCTGTGATTTGAGGAACCAATGAATTTCCTCAACTCCAACCCCTGAACAATATCATACCTTCTACATTTAAAAGCATCATGTTTATAGAGAACTAATCAACAAATAAATATATTCATCCCATTTGTGTCTAATGAGATGCTTAAAGAAGTGTGAAGGAACAAGGTAACAAACTCCATAATATTCCATTTCCATGCACAATCATTTGCCAGACCTATAACCAAAACAAACCTGACTTCAATTCTACATGACACACACCCTTTAAAGAATCAGTTCCAGAAAGGACAACTGCTAATTATTTCCAAATGTTTTGTTAGGGTTTCTATCTTCAGAACACTTTGGATAACCTGGGTGATAGAATGATTCATTTCTAATGTTCTGTCAATTACTGGGGTGAATCCTTTCAGGCCAAAAATAACCAGTGTAGTTACACAAATCACTGGCCTTGGTGGGGCTCCTCAGAGCAGGCAGCAATGCAAGATCAATGTTTATAGCCTTTCTTTAAACTATGCTATTTAAGGCAAGATGATTTATCCTGTCAAGCTAAGGACTGATGGTAAAACTACTTGAAGATAAATCATTGCTCAAGTATGTTTAGTCAAAAAGATGAACCCAGCAAACTCCCCCGTTCTATAACCTCTCTTAGAAATGATGACAGATGTCAGAGATGTAATAACTAACTACTCACACAACCTTTTCTGCCAAAACCAGAAAAGCAAAAATCAATCAGGTTAGTCTATCTGTGAAGACATGTCAAATCTAGTGAGATTCCCAAATATCCTGCTGGAAAGTGTAGCTACTTATTATCTCAATGAACTGATGGAGAAGATATATCTATCTCCTATAACTACCAATGTTTAAATGTTAATGACTTAAATGTTTTTAAGTCCATTGTTCCCAAAATAATTCTTGATCCGCATCATCCATAATTTCTGTCATTGGCAATATGGGTTAAGCTGAAGATCAAATACAAAACAAGAGATAGAAAATATTTTCAGAATTTTACTGCTTGAGGAAGAAAATATTTCAGGAAATGCAGAACTTTTCTTCTGGATAATACAAAAGAAACCTCCAAAAACAAGTCTTCTAACCTCTAGTTTTCTGCAACCAAGTGGGAAAAATCTCACAGACAAACTTGATGTTGCTTACTGAGCTCCGTTTCCCTTACTAAAATGCAGTAGTCTAACAAAAAAAAAAGTTTTATTCTTTCTAGACTTAACCATTACTGCTATAGAATGCTAAGTAACTGGTGGATTCAAAAGAGTCATATCAACTCCAATTACCTGTATTTCCCACCACAGACAAGGACTATGTGGCCAAAATACCTTTCTGAATATTGTTAACTCAAATATGCAGGACATCAGCAGAAATTTTGGTTCCACTAATGGGCCATTGCACCCAAAATCTCCCACAGAAGAGAAATCCAGGAATCTTCTTATATCCAGGATTCATCTTTACTATGGAATTCTTGCAAATTCTCTCAGACTATTTAGACTTTGCATTAAACTAAATTTTCATACTCTATCTCTTCACCTATCTTCTTTTTTGGATGTATTCCTCCTCTTATAGTGCAGAATCTTTCACTGTGTTCAAACAGTAGATAGAATAGATTTCTTCAAAATCTGAAAGAATCAAGGCAAGTTACCTACAGCACCCCTCAGTATTTATCTTCCTGCACCACTAGTGCTTCCAGTTCTGTTTGACCTGTGTGGTCATTCCCTATTCCCAGAAGATAGGATGCTACCAAAATCTCTTCAATAATGCTACAATAACAAAAGCATGTTAAACAGATAGGGAAAGACATAAAAATTAGACACATATTTGCTCATATTTACTTGATCTGTCTGTATACACATCTCTAGCATCGGTTTGATTCTTTATCGTTTGTTAAAATGTTATTTTTTAATACAACTGATATTACAGTTGCTGTTATTCTGAGCTGATGGCGCACAAAAAGTACTACTAATAATATCTTGCACTTATTTCTTCTAGGGCCACAGAACTGTTAAAGTTTAGTTAACAGATGTTTGCCAAATGGTCTCAGGAAAACCTCCTTTGATTAAGTTTTACTTACCCAGTCTATTTTATCCACATTCCAATATTTTTTTAAGTCACGGAACTGCATTAGCATCCCCTTCAAGCCCACAACAATAATGCTTGCTAACACACACTGCAAAGACATAAACACAAAAGCCATTTGCATAGTTGTTAGTGAAAACAAATGCTGTTTCTTTTATTTAGCAGTCAATATCATAATTAAATTACAAAAAAAACTGGTAGGTGTTTAGAAAATGGGATAAGCACAGGTGTCCTTGTGACAGCTGCTAACAGCAACAACCAGCCTATCCCCATTTTATTTGTGAAGGCAATCTACAGGCTACCTAACTGAGAGAAAAATGACAGAAACCTCAGGACTACTCAAGACTCTTCCATGCCTCATCAGACCAAATGCATTCTGTCACAGTCTGAAGGACTCAAAAGCAAATCATCGCTCAACTTCTATGCAGTGAAGAATTGTAACTCACTTTCCTCACTTCCTTCCCTTCCCCTAGAGAAGGTCTCTAGGGCAAAGGTCCATTAATTTTGAAGCAAAAAAAATATTTTTTTTGTTCTTTGACTCAGGAAGGAGGAGGAGATGGATGAAGAAATCATCTAGAGCCAAAAATAATGGAGTACAAACCAATGGACTTACAGTGCATAGATGGGGCTGAAAGAGCATATTAGAAGAGAAATAAATTATCAAGAAAGCAAAAACCAAAAAGTATTTTTAAAATATGGGTGGAAAAACCTACAGGAAACTGGTCAAAATTTACCTTTAATCCATATGAAAACAAATGAAAGTAGAGAAGAATTATAGCAAAAAACCCAGGACATATTGTGTACCCTTCTTCAAGTGTCCTTACTTTGCATGGTTAAAATAAGCTATAAAAGGATCTGTGTTTGAAAAGTGAGAACTTGCATGACACCATGTAAACAATGGCACAAAGCAAGTTTAAAACATAGTTGAGTTAAAACTTCATGTACATACATAGCAGAGTCGTGGATAATTTTGGAGCTGTATTTAGCAGCTTTGACATGCCTCTAGTTAAAATTAACTATTAATTTGTAATACCAAAAGCTAGATATAGCTTATGTGAAAAGATGCCACACTGCTTTAAAGAGTATTAGCTTAGATGTATGACAGAGATACAAGAATACTTTGTAATCTTTTTGTCATTAAACTTATATCACTATTTAAAATAATTTGTGTCATATTTATTTGAAAAGCAAAATTGTGTATCATGTGCGTATCAGGAGAAATATCATTAATCTTCATTAATTTCTATGACACTTTGTCAATTTACAAATCCACAGCGACCTGGGTGTATGTTTTTTGTAAACTACTTGCCAAAAGTAAGTAGAAGAGAAATTCACTCCTATACTCTGATGTGATAGCCTGTATATGTAACTATATATGTCTAAAATCTATATGTCTTATGCTGTCACCTCTGTACTTTATGATTTTGAGATTTATCATACCCTTACTATTCTTTTGGCCACTGAAATTAAATAGAGCTGTTTTAAAGGTTGCACTGTCTTTCCCTGAAAGAAACTGTCCTTAGAAAATGTTTGACATCTTAATCTTAAAAAAAGTTAAGTAGCCTACCATAGGAAGCCAGTACAGCAGAGGTCCAATTGTGTAGATCACCACAAGAATTAATACACAAGAGATAAGGCAAGCCACCTAAAACAATAAACAGGAGCTGCAGATCATTCAGTCTAACAACAAAAACAACAAAAGAAATTGTGAAAAGGACTAATTTTAAAATATTGTAGACAAAGTCAAGAATCAGGTATTGAAGGTGTTAGCTATTAATGTATCTGTGGATTGCAGATGCATATAATTTCAATTTTAATCTCTGATTATTACCTTAAATCAGCTACAGAGATGAGATAGTGAGAGATCTCAACATCTGTGCTTGACCCTGCTGCCAGCACCCTGACTCTGATCAGAGCAACACTTTCACATTTGGGTACTGAGTGGAACGTGTGTGTGCAATGTCTCATCCCAGAAGTTTCTTAGCACCCACTGTCATTCTGCAACTTATTTATAGCCATGCACCCCATGTTGTACTAAATAACAGATCTGTCCTAGCACTAAGCAAGAATTATGTATGCTATCATTTTTTCCACAAGAGAAGACTTCTGACTTCTTTTGTTGGGATTAACACTAAAAGAAAACTATTTTTAAACCAGAAACCACTAACAATTTCATTTTAATATCAGTGTATTTACTCAAGAAAATGTAGTTACCATTTTAAAAGTACATTAAAGATTATGACTAATGCAAGTAATATAAATTCAGAAAAAATATATGGACTAATAATTACATATTTCTTCACAGTATATATGGTATTAATCTGATGGAAAATGACAGTAAAATTGCACTGTCCTATTCTGCTGTGAGTGCTCACTGAGTACTTCTGCTCTTATAAATATACAGTTCAGATTCACAGAAGGTTTTTGACGATAAGTAGACAGATGCTCACTTTATTTTTATATTGATAATATGTTTCTTTACTAAAATAATTAGGTTTCATTTTAAGAGACAAGTTGTTAAAAACAAAACCAGACAAGTTGTTAAAACACTAGAAAATTAAAGTCATGGTGTACTTAAAAATACCATCAAGAAGGATAGACAGAGTGTTTACATAAAAAGGGACAGAAAATCTGCTGGTAAAGTCACAAGGAACTTTTCCCTCTTTCTGCCTTCCTGAAGAGCAAGAAAAAAAGTGTTGATTCTATTTGAAGGACGTTTCTAGTCCATGATAGATTTCCTCACTTCTCTTTTCCCCCAGGAAAATATATCACTGAGGAACAAATGACAAAACTGTAATCCAGGTATAGCCATTTGAGAAAAAAGGACTCCTCTGTGCCCCTGAAAGGCTCTTTGCATTTCTTCCATGTGCTCTGCCAAACTGACTTCCCTCTAAGTTAAGGAAAGGCCTCTTTCTGCCTATGACCTGACCAATATTTACAAGTGATGATCTTGTCATCTCCTCATTCTGTCTGGACAGCCACAAAGGAGAGCATTAAGCTGATATGTTGCTTTCCAGGAAGGCAAGGGAGAGATTGTTATGCATAACAAAATACTCTCATAGTGCTAACTCATAACCACACTCTTAACTCTTAGACACAGGCACTGCTATACTGTGAAACCAATGGGTAAACTAAGCAGGGTTTTATTGTGTATTTGCTGCCTTGAAATCAATTATAGTGGTTTCTTTTTCCATTTCATGTATTGAATAACCTTTTATCAGGGTCCTTCCCTTCATGTACCAGAGCCAGGGTGCTCAAGTACCCCATATGCCTCAAGGTTATAGGTCTACAGGTTACCTCAAATCTCCCATGGAAAAGCCAGAATGATGCAGTACAACTGTAAATTGTACATTCAGTACATTAACAGATTACAGAAGAGAATGTCTGTGAGGATGACAGCTCATTGTATGACATAAAATTCAATTAAAATACATGAAATAACTAATAGCCAAGTGGTAGCTAAAATATTTTCATATAAATACTTTTCAAGATTATTATTTGTTAGATTATTCATTATGATTAAGTGAGTTCAAAGTCCTCTGTGGGCCAATTAGCAATTATTTAAGATGTAGATTATTGGAGTAAAGTTCTGTATAATTCCTTAATATTGTGGCATCTGCATGAGAAATAATTGCAAGGCACGTACTGAGGAGAAACTACCTATGGATTGTATTTAGTCTTGTCCCTCAGGAACTTTTTCCTTGCAGCTAATGTCCTTTATACAAGACAAGGCAAGAGAAACAGCTATAAAATGAAATTAGAATCATTGAATCATAGAACTGTTAAGGTTAAGAGACCTTTAAGGTCATCAAGTTCAACCATCAACCCAGCACCACCACCATGTTCACCATTAAACCATGTCCTCAAATGCCACATTCACACAATGTCTGAAAACTTCCCAGGATGGTGAGTCTGCCATTACTCTGGACAGTCTGTTCCAATGCTTTACAACCCCTTCTGTGAAGAAAAGTTTCCTGATATCTAATCTAAACCTTCCCTGGATCAGCCTGTTGGTGTTTCCTCTTGTCCTGTCACTTGCTACCTGGGAGAATAGAAAAGGACATAAATTGATCTGGCAGGCTGCCCCTGAAGGGCCCCCCTTCCTCTTTCAGAGGAAGAGGCAATGCTGTGGGGGTGCCCCAGGTGGTTTGCCACCTCTCCTGTTCCCAAGCACATTTTGGACAGATGACAGGCTGACAGGGTCACAGTTATCATTCTCAGCAACTACAGTCCCCTCTTTCCTGAGCTACTGTAACAACAGCTTGTGAGTTTAGTTTCCTCAGTAGGAAATAGCAACAAACATCCTCAAAAATCTAAATGTCATCTCTGTGGGCTCAGTGTACACTGAGGGATAGGACAAGCACACCATGTCACAAGGCAGAAGCTGGGAGATTGTGTTTTTTTAACAAACAGCTCTAAAGGTTACTTTCATTTTATTTTGGAAATCAGATAGAAGATAAATTAAATCAGATAAATGAAATGTGATTTTTTTTCCTAAACTTCGGTTTAGACTGTAGCATTAAATCCATTAAACACCATTAGAGGGCACTTTTGTTACAATGCTGACAAATTCACATAAACTGAAAGGGCTTTTATGCAGTTTCCTGCAGCCTGAAAATACAACTCCTAACTTCCTTGCTGCCACAGACCTTATATGTCATATTGAATGAAACAGGTAAAAATTAATAAATGGAACCATTATCTTTCCTAGGAAGACATCACTGATCAGATGCAATTTCATGCAGATTGTTAAAAATGACAGGGCAGAGGCATACCCAGGAAAGAGGAAAAGGGAGGCTAGGGAAATACAATGGATAAATCAGTACAAATTGCAGTGAGCAGAATCACAGCTTTAATTCTCTGGCATACTTCACTCTAAGCCTGTGTTTTTCACAGCCTGTGTTTTTCAAACTCATTACCTGTGTTTTGGCGCCCGTGCTGTATAAAAGTGCCGTCCGTCCCATCGCTGCAGCACTTGGTATGCAAAAGAAAAATGAAGGAATCACGTTGCTGAGGCCATGAGCCAAAAATTCCTGCAAAGTTGTTAAATAGAAGATGTTTTTTCCTATTGTGCTGTCATTTCAATGCCTCTTGCCGACAAAGGAGTCTCCTATGCAAATATTAGCAATAATAAAGGATGGACAAATTTTTGAGGGAAAAAATCCCATAGGTACATGACAAAGAGTTTCCCAACAGAATAGATCTTCTCCCAACTCAGAAGTAATTTGAATGATAGAGCTGTTGAACCAGATTCATCAAAAGCAGGAGGGACATTTTGTTCCCAGAATAAATGCTATTGTTAAGCTTTGAAGATTAAGTTCAACCAAAATATTTACATCTTGATCTATGTCTGCTTTTTAACTGGCCAGAGCCCCAAGTACTGGTGTCTGGAAACTGTCCAGATAATTTCTGGTGCATGGCTCACTGGAAAAAGACGGCCACTGATTTCTTTTCCTTTAGAGCATGTTTTAGTGAAAGTGTAATGGTGTGGTAGCCACACTTTATGCACGCTGCCCTTCATCACAAATGTATTTGATGTTTGTTCACAGTCAAAATGCAGACATGTCTGAACAAAGGATTCATAGAAGAAAAGGTGGAGAAGCCACTGTGTATGTGCAGCCTAAGAGCAGTGTTTTCTAAGGAAGTGTTCCACCATGGCCACCCAGCATCACAGACTTTAAGGAGCAAGGTGGTCTGCTGAGGAAAATGTGTAGGAAAATGGTGCTGTATCCAGCCAGGAAAACAGCAGCTCATGAGTTTGTGTTCACAGCACAGAGCAGCACTCCCTTAAAGCTCACCCTGCAGCCTCACACCCCCACGGGCCCCTGTGCCCAGCACTGTGCCTGTTCTTGAAGGCAGTGCAGCCACACTACCTCACTGCTCTCCTCTCATGGAGGTTTTGCTCTTGTGATCCATTATTTGATGTGGACATAGACAGAGTTTCCAAGACTTCAGTAATGAACCTGTGTAAGGTACAAGACTTCCAAAGGTGCAGAAGGACGCAGAGGTTGCTGCATTCCATGCAGTGCCTTGAAACAAAGCAGTGTGTCTCCCTGAAGCCTGAGCTGCACTAAGCTCAAAGCATTCTCCCTCTGCTCCATAGATGGCTCTGAAGCATCAATGGAAATTCATGGCCCAATGTATTCAAACTGAGAAATATTTTAAAGACCTGTATAGCCAAGAATGTTTCACTGTGTTTTCCAATGGCATACAAGTTGTAAAGGGCAGGACTTGATGTAGCAAGACCAGCCTGTCAGTATAGAGTGTTCAAATAGACCTCCAGCTGCAAAACAACTGTTCTTCATTCAACCCTATGCCATTTATCCCAAAACACTTTACAAACATAAAGGTGGAGGCAACATTTTCATCACACAGTACTAGTGCCAGTTATCTGAAATTGAGCCTTTCTTCCCACAGTGCTTGAATTAGCATCTCCATGGATTTGCAGCAGGCTTGGAGTTACCCACCCACCACGACAAGCACTGTGGTAGTGTAGAGACTGCCCATTTTTATTTAAGCATGTCCTCTGCAAAATGGAACTCAGAACAAAAATCTCCTTTGGCTGTAAATCTGGCAGCATTCTCTGAACTCACCCAGCTTCTTAGATACAAATAAACCTTTATTTCAGGTGAGACTTCTACTTTGCATAAATAAAAATTTATTATTATAACATCGGGTAAGTCCTGGGACTATAAGTACCTGGTTTTGTTTCAGAATTGCTTTGTTTCATTTATGGTGGCTGATTTAACATCACAACTTGTCTATATGAGCTCAACTGCCAGAGGAGAAGCTGTCTCATGTTAGAGGAGTGAAAAATGCATTAATACCCAAATGCTGCACTGAATGTAGCATTACAAAATTATCCTGAAGGATGATCTTCCCCAAAAGAGCAGTTCAACCAATGAGGGAATTCTGCAGAGATAATTTAAACAAAACTTGGGTGTTACTGTAAACACTAGAAGCTGTTAGGATGCTATATGGAACATAACTTTTCCTACTGGATATTCATCTAGAACATTTTTCCTGAATGGTGATTTCAAGGCTCAGTGACACTAAGGAGAAAGAGCTTTACCTGGTTGTCATCCACAGTGTATTTAAACTTTTTAGCAGAGCCCTGAGCAAGAGCTAGTGAGGCTACATAACCAACCAGTGCCACTCCAAAAGCTTCAGTGACTACTTCAGGCAGGACACTCATGGGTGGTGCTTTTGGTGATGGCAACCTATAAAAAATAAAGACAGTAATTTTTGAAAAACTTGATACATAGTCTCTATATACCTGCAATTTATGTGAATACCACAGAAACAATCTCTGCAGGAACAGCTAATTTTTGTATTACTTGTAAACTTGTAAGGTGACATTTTGCAATATTTTAGATTAATAAGATCTCTCTGTTGGGAACAGCAGAAGAGAATTTGTAGAAGATGAAACAGTTTCAGATGGAGTATTCAATTTGAAAACTTCAATTTGAGAAATTATAAAGAGATGTTGATAAAATAACTCCACAACTGATAAATAAAATTAGCAATCATTCACTAATTTTGTAATATTCAGAGAAGAGACTACTGTATGTTTTCTCCTTTTTTAATATAGTTGGATTTCCTGTAAAGTTAAATTAAAATCTTTAAAAATTTTGTATTCCCATAGGTTGCTGACAGTACAGACATTTATTCCATCTAATGGGGATTGCAATAAAACTACTCAAGTTATGAACCAAATCACCACAGATTGTCTCTGAACTCTTCGAAAAGACTTTGGTCTTTCCAGAGCACAAATCACACCATCTGAAAACCAAATTGTGCTCTTAAAGTTTCTGATGCTCTCCACTGACAAGGCAGTTAGATATTTTGGATAAATTCCTAAAAATATGCAGGAATTATTCAGGCTCTGCTTCTGTTTTTCAACACTACTTATATGAGGTTAGACAGAAAATAAATTCCTGATTAAATTTGCACAAATACAGTTGACTTGTTCATTACACATAGAAGGGGCACACTTAGCCATGTTTTAGTCTCAGATTCATAGCATGCTCTAAATACTTAGAAACTGTATTCTTTGTATTCTTTCTCAGAAATGTCCCTTATTTCATCTCTTTCAGTGCAAGCTGCCACACATGCACTCATGCTCTCTTGGACTCGTACTTTGTGAAATTTAGGGAAACCCTCCTATATCCAAGCAGGAGTGCACACAACAGCTGTGCTCTTCCATACCAACCTGTAGCATGTGAACATTTTCTCTGACATTTAATCTAATTTCTCTTTCTAGAAAATTATGTTGAAATTTTTTTGCCTTCTTTTCAAGGTCATGGGGGAAAGTGTATAATTAACTACAGTAAAAATGTTATTTTCTAGATTAAGCATAATTAAATCTTTCACATTTTCTCAGAAACTACATTTTCTAAAATTACTATATGGGTGGAGAATATTCTGCTACAATAACCCAACCCAACCCTCAAAAAGCAGGTTGCAATAATCTCGTAAAGAGCGTCCTGCCATCCTGTCATACATCATAAAGTACTTAGTACCTACTTTTTATTCCATAAAGCAATAAAAAGCTATGAAAATGCATAGGGATGCATTTTTTGATGATATCTATGCACATATAACTTGTTAACATGGGATTGAGTTGTAAGAGAGTGTTTCAGGAGACAGAAAAAAACAAAATCGATTTTTACCATTTCTTATTTCAGAAACTCCTTTGACCTTTTCAGAGACTGTTCTCAGAAATAGAAGTGTTTAAAAGCCACAAGCTATAAACCCACATTACCCTTTAGGAATATTTCCCACAACTTCTATCCCGTAGACGTATTCCATATCAGCATAGTAGCAAGCAATGGATGTAGCAATTATCTATTGATTCAAACAGAAAAAGATGTTACATTTCTATTGCTTCTGACATGGTCCCTATTATTGCCATACCTAAGCATATGGCACTGTTCATACATTTATCCTTAGATCAATCCAGTAAAACAGGAAAGTATTATCATGATTTTTTTGTTTTTTTTTTTTTGCAAATGTGTGAGAGTCAAAAGAAGCTAAGATTTGGACACAATAGTGGTGTGAGACTATAGTGCAGTTTGTACATTCTGTGTTAATGAAAGAGCTTTGTATGGCTCTCTATAAAGCCTCAGGATCCTTGGCAATCAGTGTTCAAAGTCCCTCTGTTCAGCACCTGCCCCAGAGCACTGCCATTCATCTAAGCAGCTTAAAGCATAAATTCATAATTTAGGTGTTCCTGACAATCTGATCCAGCTGATGTTCTTTGAGCACATCTAATCCAGACTAGCAGTGTTGACTTCAGCACAGAACACAGCAGAAAATGTGTCTGCCTCTTGTTTTCATGTTCTAGCAGGTAGAAATCTTGCAGAGGGAGTATAAAGTTTGACCCTGAGGAGATTCCATCTAATTTCCTGTATTTCAAATGAGATGAACACACTATTCCCAATAGAACAGGGCTCCAGGCTGCAATCCTTAGTTTGCTGGTACATTTTATCCAATATTTTTAAAAAGGTAACACTGAGACCAGGACCACACTACCTCCTTTTCCAGTATTTTGCCTTTGTAAATATTTTTTTTTCCAGCAACAGAAGAGTAATTGCAGTAATGCACTCTGAATACGAGCTGTCCTTCATACTTTGCATTTTCTTTTAGAGCTTTAGAGCTTTAGAGAAAAACAGAAACTTTCTAATGGTGATCTGGTGCTGATCATTTGACTACAGCTTAATCCTTAAAGCAGGGGTTTATAATGCAACTGCTAATTTTAATTTACTTAAAAGAAAAATAAAAACTGTTAAAAGAAGACATGTTAGTAAATTGACAGAAAGCAATAGCATAGCTATTTAACTTTGCTATAGATAAATCACAAGCAACATCTAAGGCACAGCTACCCAGCACAAGACTTGCTTGGAGTTACAATATGCCAGTTACTTTTTATTTTCTATTTGAAACTTCTTATACTTTAATATTCTAGGCTTTATGTTCTTGTGATTATGTAAAAAGTAGTAAACATATGAAAAATATTATACAAATTGGGAGCTTATGTAATTTCTTTCTTAATTATTAAGCCAAACTGTTTCCTGTTTTTACAATTAACTTACAGCCATGAAAATCAGCTGTTTAATAAGTGGCAGGTGTGGGTGTGGGTAACTACAGACAGCACAGTAAACTTCAGCAGATTGAGCCACTGAAGGCTTTGTAAGAAAAAGCCTGATATATAATTTTGTACTTACCAAAAGCAGATCGATGGGAAGAACAACTTTTATATTTCTGTGAAATTTCTCATTCAGTTCTTTAACAAGAACAAGTACCACAATGCTCAGCAAGGAGAGAAGTAATGCCTCCAACTGAACTGATCTGATATTCTCAAACACATAGGCATAAATCTACAGTGAACAGCAAATAACAATATCACAGATCAAAAAATATATTCTGGATCACATGCCGTGGCATCTTCTCACAACTTCAGACAGATAATGAGTGAGACCTGAATCAACACTGCAGGAGCTGAGTCATTGGACAAGTTTTTGGCCTGTATTTTAGATTTTACAAAGAAGAAAATCATCAATTTACCACTCTTATGGACTTTTGAAAACTTAAAAAGAAATGCAATTAATATTCGTATATATTAATTTACAAATTTCTATTAGTAGAAGCAAGCTATAAAATTCAAATAAATGTGATATGTTTCCTTTTTCAGTCTCATTAAGTTCAGTGAGGTAAATGAGTGTTGCATAAAAATGTTGAGAAAAGTTTCTTGCACAAAGTTTTATTTGTAGTGGCCATAGTATTTAACATCCACCAATGCTAGTATAGAAAGTTATTTCTGAAAAAGAAAAAGAAAAGACAGAAAAGAGGAGAAAAGAGAAGGAGAGGAAAAAAGAAAAGGGAAAGAAAAATGTAGTAGTGGCTGGATGGGAAGAGATGCAACAGGAACCTTCAAGATGAGCATCCCCTTTAGGGCATCCTCTGCAGCCTGTGGGTCATTTTTCCAGGGTAGCTTTTTCCCAGAGTAATTTCAGCAGGGCATCCTCAGCCCCCCCTTTGGTTGCCCTTGCCCCTTACACAGTGCTCCATGGAGCATGCTTTGGTCAGGTCCAGGTGCTGCACACACTAAATAGTTGCCAAGCTTGCATACATATGCTACTGGTTATTTAAACAACTGAAGTTATCTGCTTAGCCCTGTTTGTTCCTTTTCCACTCACTGCAGAGTTAAGAGGGAAAGAGGACACCAGGCCAGAGCTATGGAGCTCAGTTTTTCAGCAGTTAATATGTGCTGCAATCAGCTGTAAAACAGGTTAGAAAAATGTGGTTGGATCTGTGATGAATAAAGGAAATATGCTGCTGAATTATAAGGAACATGCAGAACAGAAATACAGAACAGGAACAGAATGACCAATGGTGAGGAGAAACAGAGCTCTTGGGTGATTAATACCATCTTGTAAGTAAGAGGCTCAGGACAATGCAGTTCCCTTTGCACCAGCACAGATGACACAGTGAACTGTAATTTTTGCTGCGTACTGAATTTGTGGGTTCAGGAAATAAGGCATAATTCAGTATGGTAGTACATTAACAGAAAGCAATGAAAAAATTACAAGTTTGCTGTAAAAGAAGGGGTGAAGAAAGTTAGAGAGACCATCTATCCTGATAAAGAAATCATGAGATCTCATCACAATTTAATTTTGGACCTCATGAAGAAAAGCAATATTGCCTGAAAGAACAGCAAGCCATAAAAATGGATACAATACACATGTTTACTAAAGCTGTAAGAGAAAAAACAAGATAGGCTCAGTCCCTTGAGTTCTGCATTTAAATTCTGGGAACTATTGTGCATACTGAAATATAAACCATGGAGAGAACAGAAGGGAAGATTAGGATGTAGATTTAGACACCATCACAAACAATTTTTTTTTAAACCCCAACATAAAGGATAATAAAATAAAGCAAGTGAAGCTTGAAATAATAATAGCAGTAATAAAAAGTAGGTGTTTTCTCTGGCAATGACTAAGACGACCACTAAACTAAATCAAAAGTGACACTTGTAGTTTTGTCAAAATAAAGATTAATAATTTTCTGCTCCAGAGAACTTATTCTCAAATACATGTAAAATGCTAACAAGTTTTGACAGTTTGGAGGTCAAATTCATAAATTTATATTGGACAGGGAAAAATACTAGAAAAATTATCTTAGGAAAGAACTCTGTTTTAGCAGAAAGGTAGTCAATATGATGATAGAATTTATTTCTACTGTTCTGATCCTGTCACTCATTAAAGAAGTGATGCTCATATTGAAGAATGAGTCAATTGAAATGATTTCCTGATTTTTTTCTCTCTGAAGATATTTTCATAATCTAGAAAGGGAAAAAAACCCAACCTAAATATGGTTTAAGAAAAAAACCCAACCTAAATATGGTTTAAGAAAGGTAACTTTCCTCATAAAGAGCCAATGTAGCCCTTGGAGTTTCAATAAAGGATGCACAATATTACCCAGTACAAACATTTCTCAGAAACCAGGAAAATATTTTAAAGTCAACTTGGTTAAGTAATATGATCTAGATATGTCTCAAATCTGAAGAATGGCAATTAAACCACAATTTTTAGCCACATATTGCCCCACTGTAATCAGAAAATATGTGGATTGTGTCTTGAGTGGCTTGGGACTAGATCTGTACCCATAATTTTCCAAGAATGCATTTTCAAGAGGACACAGGACTTCGCTCTGTGCCCAAACAGAAGCTGTGATTAATTAACACAAAGGAGGCAATCTGAAAACTGAGCCCACGAACTCACCAAAGACTGAGCTAGATCTAAAATGAAGAGGCAAGAAAAGGGAAGAAATTGTTTGATTCCTACTTGCTGAAGTCAGAAAGATGGGATTTATTTTGAAATGAATGCTGGCTATTAAAGTGTCAGCATTAGCTATCTGTATTCATGGCATCAAATCTAATTTTCCGAGACAAAGTGAGACAAAATACTGAGTGAATAAATAAAATTTTAGTGAAGAAATATACACAGGCGTCAAGAATTTTTGTCTTTCAAATTGAATAAAAAAGGCATTTCCATTTAATTTTAAAAATATATGGCCAAATCTTGTAAACCTCTTCCATAGGTTTTTCAGATTTTGCAACAAAATTTTTATATGAACTGCCTAGTACATCCTTTGGTGTTTCTTTGAAGTCATACCCTTCTGTATGCAGTCTACATCAGCCAATAAATGAAAAATAATGGAACTACCAATAAATACTCTGTAGCTCATTCAAATTCAGTAGCCCAAACAGCCCTATCCCCAAAGTGTCTGTAGCACACCAAAACAGTTCTGGCAGTAATGCATTAGTATTAAATTAATTACTGCATTAGACTAAGGAGCTTCCACTCTTCTGACTAGTTGGTTCCTGGGTAACCCTTTTCTGAAAACCTAAAACCACTCAATTCCTGGTATGACCAGTGAAATGAGGAGACCCTTTCACGAGAAAGAAAGAGCATGTGGCTCTTAGCAGGAATGTAATTACATACCACAGACATCTCTTTAAACTGTACATTTTACATTGTATTCTGTCCAGTCAGTTACTGTACTCATCCAAGATCAAACTATAAATCCTGAATCTAAATACATAAAGCTCAAGCTTCCAACAGCATTGGCATCTGATTCAAAAGAAGTATTTACAAATATTTTAATCAGAAATGTAATTTGGAAATTATGCAGCAAAATTTATCTTGATATTGCAGTGTATGAAGCAATCTTTGTCATTATATAATTTAAAATATTTTTTTAAATCTTTTTCATTCTATAATTTAAAATATTTTAAAAATCAGCAATGATATATTAATTGAGCTGTTTGTCTCTTGTGTTTTTAGTTTCATTGCTAGTTTTGTGTAAATATTCTTAATAGAACCTATGTAAGAATATTATGAGCAATCAGTGGCCTTTTTTCTAATGAATGCAAATTTTGACCTAAGTGAAACAAAACCTATTTGAGCTTTGCACATATATATACTGACACTGAATGTTCCTTTTCTCATGGGAAACCATCAGTTTTGAGGTGATATTGAACATTGGAATGATTTATATTCTAGAATGGGTGTGTATTTGGATGTATTAATGAAATGCTCTGAGTTGTTTTTTTTAATGCCTACGTGAAACCCAAAAAAATTAGCTCTAAAATATGTATAGAGGCTGAAGCAAACAAAGGAATTAAAGGAACTCGTTATTTAAGACAATACATTTTAAGAGTAATTAATTTCAATGTCAAAAAAATTTCATTCTCATGTTTTTTAGATATGTCACACTGGAGGGAAAATGTACAGGCAAATACAGTAAACTGTAGAGATAGCTGGGGGAAAAAAGGGTGAAAAGAAAGAACTGATAGCAGAATGTGAATGTTTGGGGTTTTTTTTCAGATTTGCAGCAAAACCACACAAGGATTTTGCAACACAGCCACAGAAGACCCCATTTTGCAAAGCGAGTTTCTTAGATTACAGCTCATTTTGCAGTGTTTTATTTTCTCAGAAACATGTGGAAAGAGAAATATATCTATACACAAATAAGGGGGAAGTACAAGTATGTTCTTTCATTTTCAGATGCTAAATAAAACTTGATGACACTTTTCCCTTGTAAAGTTAGATCTCACATGCATTATTCCCTCACTGTTTTTCTTCTTCACCTTCACTTTTCCTTTTCAATTTGCAAAATACCAGCTAATGCTGCACTATGGAGTTCAATTGAAATGTGACAAGCTATGTACAGGGAAAACAAAATTTATTGTTACATAACCTGTGTGTAAACACAGAAATACCACAGGCTCAGGGCCAGTGTACAAGATTTGTTCTCCATATGCAAAGTTCCTTCCTATGTATTTAACCATGATCTCACATGCTATAAAGAATTCATTTCACTGGCTTGCTATGCTTGCAACTCTCCTATCACACTTTATTAAACATTCTTATTCTTGCTTTGCCAACCCAAAGGCTGCCTGAGGCAAAGCAATTGGTTTTGTGAGTGGGAGGTGTTTTGGAGTGGACAAAGAAAAAAAATTTAACAAAAGCACCAGTCATTGGATTTTGAGAATTTGAAGTGAAGAACGTGTCCAGAGAGACACGCCAAAGTTGCCTTTCACTCTCTAGATACATGTGCAAAATACCTTATATCTAATTAATATAATTTTCACATGAAACTACAACCACAGAAGAAAAATATTGTTTAAGTCTAGCTCTGGTATTTTGACAGAGATATTGAGATATTGGACCTTCTTAAGGCAATTCATAAGTCTGAACAGACACCAGAAATATTAAAAGATTGAAATAGTAAAATTGCCCCTTTTTTATCATTCTTTCAAGTTGTACAGAGTAGATTTTTTTTTTGGTCATTTACTTTCACACAACTTACAGAGCAATTCAGTATCTTAAAAAAAAAACAGGAGTTTTTCTCTGGAATATCTTCAAAGGGGTTTGATTTCAAAAGAGAAGAGAAAGGCAAAGAACTTTTTTCAAATGCATTAAAAATACAAGGGATAAGGGAATAGATTTCTTTCAAAGCATTTGAATGACCTCATTTATGATATCATCAGCACACCAAGGTGGAAATATTTCTTCATATCACTGCTGTTCTTTATTATTGCTCATAATGTGTATTCTGATTATGCCTTGGCTGCAGTACTTAACACCAGTCATCTCTACAAGATGACAATATTCCTATATGTAAGTATAGTCTCCATGGAAACGCCACAAAAAGGAGACTTTTCACATTTTATATTAAGAATCATTTATGAAAAGGTTTTTAAATAATGAAAAAAAAAGAAGAACCATTTTTAATAGTCTAATAAGCCAACTGATCACTCATAAAAATAGCTATGACACTTTTAGGTATATCTGTACAAGATAAATGGATAAATTACTTGTGCTTATTACATGCTCCTAATTTTCATTAATTAATTGTTCCTGCAAAAAACTTAAGAAATGTATTATCCATATGAAAAGCTATCAAATTTATAAAATACTATGAAAAAACATTCTAAAAAGCAACATCTTCTAATCAAGATTTCACATTAACAAATTTTCCAAATAATAAGAAAAAATAAAGCACATAGTAGGGTACAAAGACATAGTCAGTGCTTTTAAATAAGGTGTCCTAATTTATTGGCTGCCTAGATGAAGTCTCACTATCAGTGCAATGTAGATATCACCTCAGCAAGTAAATACAGTTTTATTATGAGCAAAATATCATTTTGACAGGCACTGTTGTAACATTAATAATGCCAAAAGATTATGCTCACAGCACTGAAACTCAGGGCTTGCTGGAATAAGTTACCATCAAGAATATGTTTGTGACTCTGTAATAAGATTATTCAGCTTTGCTCTTTAAGGTATCGGCCAAAAATATGTACATTCCAAGGGCTGTAAGCACGGCACTGGTGGTGGGGCATCACCTCCTGGCCCTGCCCAAACCAGCCAGGTGGGGACGTGTCCCTGAGCAGACCAGGTGCTGTAACAGCAACACCCACTGTGGGGCTGAGGTGGGGAACAAAGGGTGGTCAGTCATCCCCTGACAGCCTTGGAACATTCCCTGCCTCAGCTGGAGCCCAAGTAGAACAGCACCATTGTTGCCGAAGTTTTGGAAACAATTTCCAAATGTTTTGGAAACTCCAGTAGTTGCCAGCGTGGGTTATGGCCAGGATGGAAACCAACTATGACTAAAGCAAATCACCTTGTGACCCTGCACACAACAGTCCTAAGTGAGGCCTTCTGAGCTCTTCTGAGCTCTCCTTCTCTGTGGGGCACGTCTCAGAGCTTGGGAATCCTCAAGTCTGCGATACTCAAAAGACCATCACAGTGAAACCTGAGCTGATACACACACACATGAACGCAGACTCCTCGAGGTGCAACCCCTGAGCTGATACACACACACACACACACACACACCTGCACCCAGACTCCTTGAGGTGCAACCCCTGAGCTGATACACACACACACACACACACCTGCACCCAGACTCCTTGAGGTGCAAACCCTGGGCTGATACACACACACACACACACACACACACACACACACCTGCACACAGACTCCTTGAGGTGCAACCCCTGGGCTGATACACACACACACACACACATGCACCCAGACTCCTTGAGGTGCAACCCCTGAGCTGATACACACACACACACACACACACCTGCACCCAGACTCCTTGAGGTACAACCCCTGGGCTGATACACACACACACACACACACACTCACATGCACACAGACTCCTTGAGGTACAACCCCTGAGCTGATAAACACACACACACACATGCACCCAGACTCCTTGAGGTGCAACCCCTGCCTGGTGAGAAACACTCAGCCATTTGCCATGAATATTTTCCTGAAGCTGAGGGGAATTTTTGATAAGCACCTTTACACTCACAGACAGACATGCATATATCTCCACCTGTGTGCACGTGAAATTATTATGGTGTGAATGTTGTTATCATGAAACTGTAATTAAGTCACGGTTATATTTATAAAAATTCCCATTGAATTACTTATTAAATGTTAAATTACTCAGTGATGAATTTCTGTTAAACCCTTTTGCACACCTTATTTTTTGTGTCCATACCCTTTGTGCCCCTACCCTTTTTCATCCTCGGTCTCCATGCAATCTATTCTAAATTGTTACTAATGTAATTTCCCTATGAATACTTCATCCTTGCAGTAAGAGAATGAACCTTGTCACTGAATTCTATTAAAGTCACACTTCCATAGTTCATATTAAACTCATACCTGCTTTTTACCAATATCCCTGATGGTGATGCTTTAAGCAGCCTTACCCCTCATTTGCAACAATACTGCATGAAATGCAGCTTGCATTTTATAAAAATTACCTTCAAGCCGTCCACTTGCTGTGTTTATGGCAAAGTAGTATCGTGTCATAAAATAATAAATAACATATCTAGAGTAATTTTGCATAGGAGATGCACAAATCATGGGTCATTTTCCTTTTACCACAACAATGGTCAGATTTCATTCAGCAGCATATGAAGAAAATACATTTAAATTTATATTCCTTCCACATGCTGACCCAGAGAGAGATTACCCTCCCTATATGAGTGTATAATGGCTCAGGATAATAAAAGGGATTATTGATTCCCTAAGAAACATAGTTAAAATAATTACTGTACCCATCCCTGCTAATTCTCTATCAGGTTTTCCAAATCTCGTCTTACAAACAGTTAAAGCAAGATGAAGATTCATCTTCTGTTCATTCACACATGTGCATAACAAATTCCCTACTCTTCCACAGAGACAAATAGTGCATATAATAAAATTTTATCTAATTAAGTAAATCTCATCTCTTTCACTGAACTCACATGAAAAAATGCCAGTGGTCCTGATATATATGGCATTTTCATTCCCAGCAGATACTTCACTTGCGAAGTCACGACGTGGCTAGCTGCTCCTGTTGTCATGGCACTTATGACAGGTTCTGTTAACAAGAAAGTGGCACTGCCCAACTGCAGCATGAACATCACTACCTAAAAGGCAAAGGCAGGAGGATCAGCAGCTTCTTGGTGATAGGAAAATGAGTCAGAGTCCTTTTAATAAGTTATAAGATAAATGAGCTAAAGATACAAAGCAAAAGTCCTTTGGAAGACAAATCAATCTGAAAATGGAACCCACTGAAGTTCTGTGGGTTTACGTGCACTATTTTACTCACTAGTTTACCAGACTCTAATACTAGTTTAGTAATAAAAACAGACTCAGAGAAACTCTAAATATTCTCTCCTGCTCAAATATGTAAGCACAATAAACACCATAAAAATATCAACTCAACACTACAAGTACAACAACTCAAAAAGTGAGGCTGGTTCTGAGACTTGTTCCACTGCTATGCAGCCTAAATGGGCCCAGAGCCATATCTTGGTCCAGCTTACTGATTTCCATAATGTCACTATCAGTATTCTCAAAATTAGTAATTTCAACAGGTATCAAATTTATGAGGTGCTATAGAGACTCTTGTGGTGAGACCCCTAATCCAGAAATTTAAACTACAGCAGGATCTGTAACTATTTTAGGTATTGTGTTCAACTGTTTTCTCCCCTTATCCTGTGCTTTGAACATTCTTTCCCTCCAAAGTATGAGATTTGATAACTCTTAATTCTTTGAACGAAGTTGCTACATGACTACAGCTGCTACTGTGGCTTACACAACATTTCATGCTTTTCTGATCCACATTAAGTTACATTGACATTATCTCCCCTCACAATGAGTTTTGGAGTTTCTAACTTCTGCGGTCTTTTGCATTTGCTGCTCTTCTCCCTGATAAGTTGCATGCTCTTGGCACAGAGTTGTTTGTTACAATACTTTCTAAGAGGTTCATTTTGTGTTCACCATACTAAATATCGAATATATCACAGTCTCCCTTGCTTTTTTGTTTTTTTTTTTTGTTGTTGTTGTTGGTTTTTTTTTTTGGGGGGGGGGGTTGGGGGTTTTTGTTGTTGTTGTTTGAGTTTTTGGGGTTTTTTTTGTTTGTTTGGGGTTTTTTTCTGAAGCTTAAACTGTTATTTTCAGATGTTATCTTTCTTTATGCCTGAACACCATTCATGTTCTCACCATAAAACTCACCTGTATGCAGAGAGCTTTGGGCATAGTACCACAAAAGAAACAAAAATATCAAAATAAGTGGCTTTTAATTAACCACAAACCTCTAGTGAGCAATATCCTCTTCCATTTGAGAGATTAAATCTGAGATTTTTCTTCTACTTCCTACTAATAGCATGTAAATTGCTCTTTACTATGAGCAATTGGAACATTGATTGCCATTCAAGATTGGACTCCAATAATGATAATTGCTGTGTACCCTCAATGAGTAGTAATTTAGTTAGTCAGGCCTAAAACTGATAATTACTAATTTCAGATATTTTGTTTAGCTGTTTGTTCTAACAGTGTGACTACTACTATATTTAAAGCATTGTTCACAGTAGCAAAGTTCAATAAGAATTCAATTCTCCCTTCCCTTGGGAATTTTTGTTTGTTTTCTAAAATTGGTTTCTATTGTTTGAATGTGAAATTTCTAACTGTGTAATAGCTTAGTTTCCAAGAAATTGGATGTTTATTTAGCTATGGAATCAAAACCACAAAGACAATTCTGTATACTACATAATATCACAGAGAAGTATTAGTTACTATTAGCATTTCAGAGAAAGTTATTATTGTGATCTACAGCAAAATGATTGATGAGCTTAGACATTTTAGCATCACTCTCAGATCTACTTTGGTTTTTTACTTTTTTTTTTGTTTAATCTTCAGCATTTTAAGAGGATTCTTCACAGGTACTAACTAAAAGAACACATTTCAAACACAGTTTTTATTGATTGCATGGAACCGTGGGCTATGTAAAATACATGCACACCATGGCTGTGGTTTCAGTTAGACAATTTCTGTAGCCACTCAACTGAACAAGCAACACTTGGTGCCCTTTCCTTCCTGCAGAAGGCAGCTCAGGACTTCCAGAGACAAAGGCAGTACTTCATGAGCATGAACATCCTACTCTTTATTTATATGGTAGCTAAATAAATATGATGGGCACCCATACATCTTCCATGGAGAGGATCTAAAAATGAAGCAACCAGAAGAGGAAACATTCTGGGTGGAGGGTGTAATTTTTAGCACAAGCTGATATGGGAACTTCATGTTGTCCCTGCAACATGAGTAATGGACAGAAACTGCTTGGATCGTGAGGAGGAAAAGGTTTTGAAACAAGCCTCCCAAATCTATTTGCATGTGAATTTTCCTGACAGTTAAATTATTATTAGCATTTACACAGGCCCAGATTGACTCTACAATTAACCCTCCATGCTGGGCAAGAGCCATTTAAGCTTGGCTGCCACTGCATTTTGAATAAACACCATTTGAAACTTAGCTAAGCTGACAGCACTCAATTACATTATATTGCATTATGTCATAAAACCTTTCACCCAGTAACACTGACCAAAGTGTAGAAAGTTCAATATTCTTAAAGAAATGTCTAACAGTCTGCTGTATTCTGGCTATTGGTTGTGATGCTCATTTTTGCAGGTCTTCCACTTTATTTTCTGGTATATTTTATGGTTTCTTTTTGTCTCTGATGCAGACAAACTACAGAGAAAAGTGCCACTAAAGTGCTGGAACAACAACAACAAGCAATTTTTTTTTCCTTTTATTATTTATCATAATACTGATATTTTCTTAGCCTGTAAAAAAAAAAAAAATTAATATATTTTAGAATTGTATCTAGAATTTTTAATTTTTAAGAACGTAGTTCCTAGAGGATAAATGCAGATTTCAGGGAAGGAATATATACAATATAAAAGTGGTTTGAAAGGCACTTGGCTATTGCTTATTTGCGTGGCACCTCCAGTACACAATACCATGTAAAAAAGTTCATTAAGAAGTAAGTTTCTTGAGATGAATTTTGCTTTCACAAGGTATAAATTCTTGAATAAATTCATATAAATAAAATCAAGACCTTTCAGAGAAAAGAAAAAGCAATATAAGATAAAGTGAGGGAAAGCAGCCTTGAGTTAATGCACAGTAAAGGAGAAAAGACCACAGAAAAAATGTATACAATGAAGTGATTAGACAGAAGTGGGGGAAGGTGTGATTCCCAAAAAAAAAAAAATGGAAAAAATAAATAAATTTCAAAATGGAAGAGAGACAATACAAAGGGACTTTGTTGCAGCTGTCTTTACTGCTCCATAAGTTTACTCTGACAAGTAGAAGAGAATGGGAATTTAGCCAGGAGAAGAAAAGTAAGCAATTGCAAAAAGCAAAGCCCTCTATGTTCATTATTCAGAACCTTTGGTTCTTGTCCACTTTCAATACTTTCCTCCCATGACAACATGTTCAGTCTGTTATTATTATTATTAGAATTCCATTCAACATGTAGTCAATTTAACTCCATGGCCAGTAAAAATTTTTGTCACTTAACAGCTCTTTGGAAATCACTAATGTTGAACTTTCAGTCCCCAGAAATTGGAAGACTGACATCGTGTTGCCTGCTGCACAGATTCAGCTTTGGAGAGTGAGTTTTAAACCCTTCAACACTCCACTGTTCTGGAAGGGGTTTTCCAGTGTTAGAGCAGACAAAGTGGTGGGGCCCTTTCTGATCATTTGCTGCATGGGCTATGGAGATGAGGCCAGACATGGGAGCATCTCTTGGAGCGCAGGCTGTGAGCCTCTCATTTAGTACATTATATTGGTCATCTCCCAATTCCAAGTGAAGCCTTCTATGGACCCTCTGGAGACAGCAGTCAGACACAGTTCAGCTCAGCTGAGTTGCCAGTTTAAAATCTCCATGGCCTGTTTCAATAGACATCTGACTGGTAAACCACCAGCTTTGGGTTCTTTGAGCTGCAGCTCCTATGTTCATTCTGGTGTCTTGAGAGTGTCTGGTAGCTTCTCATGGTGTGCACAGTGAACTTTCCTCCTTCCAGGACCTGAAAAAGTCTTTTCTATGGTCTTTCTATACTAACACATAGTATGCTTTACCATAATTGTGAGAATCAGAACTCCCTTTTGAAAACTTGTATTTTTCAAAATACAGAGTAAGAGCCTGCAATAAGGTATTTCCACTATAAAAGAAAAATGAACTTTTTCCCTGATTATCACTGTATAATAGACTCATGTTTTTACCTCATGCAGAGCTATGGGTAACAGAATACTGCAGCTTCATTTTTCTTACATGGTAATAGAGATTTGGACAAGAATATTGCCTTAAAAAAACACCCTTCTTATTCAAATGTGCTCCTTTTTTATTAAGCAAATTGATAATAGACTGTGTAAATTTGTTCTCCTGAAAACCAGAAATATTTTTATATCCAACACTGTATATCAGCAACTAATTACAAGTTAGTTTTTAAAATACTGTAGATGAAAAACTTGCTCATAAAAAATGTTACAAGACTGGAATGCAATAAGCAGCTATTTCTCCTCTAGAGAAGAATAGCCCAACTGAAGTCTATAACACTGTGGTCTTAAGAGAATTCAGGTTTTTCCTAGGATATTTTTTCCTCAGTTTGATCTGCAAGGAGCTTTCCTCTATTTATTCAGCAAATCTTAATCTTGAATTTCATTTTAGTATGCTGAGATTATTTTAGAGGCACATATATTTATGCAAGCATTCTTGCACATATATTAATAGGGAAAAAATCTTACCCAAAAACTCTTTTGAGGATTTTTTTAAAGTTATAAAGGCAACATCCAATTTTAATTACAAAATTACTCCATATATGTCTGCTATGTTCCATCATTTTCTCTCCCCATCAATACCTCCAAGATATTTGATATCAGGGAAGATTTCTATTAGTTTGATTTGTTTTCCACACCCTGTTTATTTTTATAGAGTAGCAGCTACACAAACATAAAAAAAAAATCATATGTCTTCCATTCTGCTTTTTAAAATGAAGTAATGAATGCATTATATTAAATGGGTTTGGTAATTGCAGTTTTTATTTTATGTTTACTTATTTTCTATTTTAATACTATTTTAACTTCATCAGAATGCCTCTTAATATAATTAAATATTCTTTCTCTTTTATGAACTCTTCCTCAAACATTAGATTTCAGAAGTCGCTCAGGACTCTGCAATTTATTACTTGGAGAAAAACTTAAGCAGCTAGGCCCCTAATTTGAAGTGTGAAAATCTCTACCTATCCTTGTCTTATGATAAGAAAATAGTGCTAATTTATTTAATGTCTAGATGACACTGAAATTCACAGAGCCTGCTCAGAATTTGCCTCACACACAAATGCACAGTTGTGGTCTGCAATAAACACAAGCTAGCCAACAGCAGTTCATCTCAAAAACAGCTCCCCCCTTGCCCCACCTTCCCTCCATTACTCACTATTTTTTATGTTTTCTCTCTTATTTTAACATTATTTGCTGATTGGAGTACTTAGCCAGGCTACTGGAAAAATAACATCAAATTGCTTTTTAGGTCAAGGGTGCACAGCTCTTTACCTACTCTTTCCAAGAAGGAAACAGCTGTTTTGGCAAGGACTTTTCATCCTTTGTCTGGAAGATGCCCAAGGTAGGGATTAGTCACAGCATCTGTTGTTTTTGTGCAATTAGTGGCTGATTAGAGAACTGCATTTTGACTGTTTTTCAGAAAAATTAAAGTCTTATTTTAGATAACATAAGTCTTATTTATATAACATAACCAGGTCTGCTCCCTTCCCAGAGCAGCACCATCCCAGATATCAAGTACACAGAAAATCCAACTTTTTGTATTGCAGGATGTCTTCAATGAAAAGCTGCTGCCTCAAAATGCATCATACTATTCATCTTGTCCCAGAACACACATTAATTTCAGGCCACGAGTTAATTTCTAATCTAATCTGATAAATAGAAGAAGGTGGCTGATTCAGCTACCCATTAAGAGCAAGATGTGCCCTGTCAGCTTATCTGGGGTTTGCAGCAACTGTTAGTTGGGAGACTGGAATCTTGATGAGAGACATAGATTCCCACACTTAACAACACCTGGGAAGATGCCAAAGTTTAATCTCAGCCTTGATCAGGACTTTCACCTGCATATTGCAATATTAGCAGCTTCAAGGCATTTCTTTAGGAAATAAGTGTTTTACTCTGGCCTCCAACCCAGTGCTGGGCTGCACATTGAAACAGCACATGCAGGCACAGCCAGGCACAATCTGCATCAGCTCTGCTGTCTGTAGGCTGTCCCTCATGCTCCTACCCCAATTCATAATCCAATAAAAGAATTCTCATCATAAGCCAATAAAAGAATTATAAGAACACAACAGGAATAACAATGCTTCTTGATATTTCCTACTGACTAACAAGAGTACACGCCCCAGCTCCTGCCAAGCACGTAGGCCACCAAAGATCTCATTCTGGGCCCCTTTGCTCATCCTCTGCATGGGAGAGGGATCCAAAGCACCAGGTGGAGGGGTCTGGGTTTGTTTCAGGAGCCCAGCTACCTAGGAGGTGTTGCAATGTCACATGCTGGAACATAACTTCTATTCTAATATTTACAAGGAGAGAGGGAAGCCTTCATTGAAAACCTAAGCAACTGGCAATGGATGAAGAAACCTGGCCCCTTTAGCCAGAATAGGAAAAAAGAAGAAATTTAAAAGACCTCTGATCATTTACATAAACTTTAGAGAATCATTTGAAGACATCTGTTTTACTATTTCACTTTAATGATGGGTGTGTGAACTCTAAAGAGAATTTAAAACTTTCCCTACTGTTTTTAATTATTGGATATTGTATTGCTTTTCAAGCCAAGGGCAACAGAAAGCCTCAGGAATATGCCAGTGCTTACCAGGAGCTGATTCATGTTTGTTTCTGAAGAAGGAAAAGGGACACCAACTGCAAGTGAGTATTATGGTAAAGCTGACTGAAGGTGGTTTTGCTTCATATTGTAAAACACTGAGAGAATGTATACAGATAATTACTACATCTCAACAAAGGAATAGCAAATTCTTAAAGTGCATTAATTTCATCATTTGTGACCATTGAAGCAGATGTTTTCATTAGTTTTTCTCAGAGAAGTATAAAAACCCTTATAAATGTCATAGCTGTAAAAAAGGCAGTACATCAGTAGCATACAGAAAATGGGATCACCACCAACCTGAATGATTCCACCTAGAAATGAAACTGCTGCTGCAACTCCAATCCTCTGCATTTCAAATTCTGACAAAATTCCTGAATTATTGTTTGCTGTGAAATTAGTTCTGACTGAAGGAACAAGACGCTCAACTGCATTGGCAGATATTAAGGAAGTTAAAGCAAAAGTTCCTGTAAAAAAAGCCACACATTAGTCATCAATAATTGTATATCTGTCTGTACTCATCACTCATGGTCTCTTTTTCAAAATGGCCATTATAAGTAAAAGTGGCATTTTTTACATTCCTGTCATCATAAGAACAATTTTAAGGTAATTTTTCCATGTAACACACATTTCTTCCCATAAAATACCATTTATACAGGCAAATTAAATGAAAATCCTTTTTTTAGCACATTTGTTAAGACAGGTTTACAAAAGACATTCAAATACAACAATTTTAAATTAATTCAAGTTATTTCAAGTTATCAGAAATGCTTTTAACTCACCCTGGATGTGATCAAGCAGCTATTTGTCTGAGAATCCCAAGTGTTCACCATTCAAATGTCTAGGGCAATTAATTCTCACTACACATATAGTACCTAGCCCATTAAATAGTACCTAGCACTCTAATATATGGAGGAAAATTATGAGAAAAACATTTATTTGCTGAAAGAGATAAAGCCCATTTAATTCAGCATTAAAAGACACAAACATGCAGATCTATTAGAGCACAGGAGTATCTTGCTATGTCAGAACAATGGCCCATCTTGCCCAGTACTCTGCCTCCAGCTGTGATAGTCAGATGTGTTACCTGGGGAAAGCACACAAGCCTGGCCCATTTTCTCTGGGCCATTGCTCTTTTTGCCAGTATCCATAGCTGTTGTGTTAGTGAAGTACTTCCTTAGCTGGCTTTTTTTTATTTTGTTTGTGGACATTTATTGATTTGTCAAAGGTTTGTCTGAACCTGCCTGTAATGTCTCCTTTTGCAATGTCGTCTGAGAGCAGGTTGCAGAAGTTCAGTAGCTGCTGTACTGTTTTCTTTAATCTATACTTTAAAAGTCTTCTAAAACAATTTCTCTCTGAACTCACCCTTTTTCTACTGCTGCAGGACCTGGTGTACACAGTCCCGCCCTCACCTTGGCCTTCAGAGAGTAAAGCTCACAGCATGAATTCCTCAGGAACCCACCAGGGATTCCACCACCCCGAAAAGTGACCATGAGGTCCAGCCTTTTGCTCCATATCTTTCAACCTGCTAATAATTAATAAAAGGACTTTTCTTCTATCACAAGGACAACTTAATTTCTTTAGTAACCTTTGGTGTGGAGCCTTATCAGTAGCTGTTTGACCATTCTGATATCTTATATTCAAAGTATATCCCTTCTCCATGCACTTGTTGACATTCATACAGTAGTCTAGAAGGTAGTGAGGTATGACTTTCCTTTACAGAAGTCACATTAACGCCTCTCCAATAGGGTCTGATTATACACAGCTTTTTTTGCCCCATCCCTGGAAGTGTTCAAGGCCAGGTTGGATGGGACTCTGAGCAACTTGATCTAGTGGAAGATGTCCCTGACCATGGCAGAGGGGTTGGAACTAGAAGACCTTTAAGATTCATTCCAAACCCGGCCATTCTATTGTTGTAAGTTGTTTGCATAAAATTAAATTTGAAAACAGCTTACATGAAATTTTATCCTAAATCAAAGATGTGTATGTGTTGTTTATGGCAGATAAAACTGTCTCAGAAAATGGTTCAAAATCAGTTATGTTAACAAAAGTCAAGAAAAGCTGTATGTGTTTGTTGCTCAGGTGAGAAATCTCTTCAAGTAGATCAGCCTTTTCAAAGAAGAGGCATTTCAAGTGAATAAAAGTTAACTGAACAGGGCCATTGATGGATTTTCCATTTCATGCTAACATGACTGCCTTCACTAACAAAGAACACTTTTACAGCCTGTGTACATATGGAGAGAATCACAGATCTTACAGAAAATTCTGGTAAGTGAAGAGGTTGTCTCCAAAGTCCATAAGGAATTATGGAGCAGCTGAGGCAGGCAGTGTGGCTCCTATACACTCACCACAATGCCTTAACCCAGGCTGGGGGAACAAGTGCATGAGACCTTTCTTCTGAAAAGATCAACAATATATGTCACTCAAATTTATTAATTTAAAAAATTCCATATGTGCAAGAAAACTCTTTTGTTGCCTTTTTTTTTTTTTTGATTGAGAATAAATTTTGAAATAGAATTATGAACGGAATCTGGAGTTTCCACACCAAGGACCATGCAGAAATTTGCAGACATGAACTCAGCAAGGGATTCTCTGAACACTATTCCCTCCCAAGGATAAAACATCAGACTTAATAGCATACTTACCTATTTTATCAACTGTTTTCATTACTAGAATTTATGGCAGCCAGGAGCTTACCTATCTTTCCTACACATGATAGATTCTTGTCTTCCTAATAATCATACATCAACAAACTTCTGACAATACATTTCTAATTTTTTTTTTGCTTTGAAACAGTTTTTTAATATAGGCTAAAGTTTTAATCTATCTGTATTCAGGAGTAAAATTTATTTTCCAGATTCTAAATTTCCACCTTTTCTTGGAATGCTTCCCTTTCGACATGAGTTGAATACAGTCATTACAACATTAGGATACTAACACATCTACAGATCCTTTTTGGACATCAAAAGGCTCAAATACTCTCTGTACATCTAGGGAAAACAAACTTTCAACTTTCCTTTTTCTCTAAGCCAATTTACAGCTGTTCAGAATTGTATTTTTTAATAATGCAACCGAGTACTTTTGATCAAAAAGGGTGCTCAAAATGTGTTGCTAGCTTCTTAGTAGAACACGCATACATGTGTGCAATCAGACTCTGCCAAGTTCATTTTGAGTGTGATTGTCCAGAACCATCTCTTTTCAGGAGATTTTCTCCTCTTCAAGGAAGAGATACCCCTCCTTGCTTAAACCTTCTGGCAGCCCCAGGGGCTGCTTCCCTTTACCCAGCCATGCTGTGTGTGGCTGCTGGGCCCATCTCACCCTTCTTGCAAACTTCAGGGGCCATCAAGTGCCCACTTCTGCACAGTAAAGGATTTGTGGTTCAATCTAATGAGTATTATTTCCAGCTGCCCTCTATAATTTTGATTTCTTTGGGCTCAGAAACAGAGCATTCATGAACCTATTAGGTGCACAAAGCCATTCAATTCTTCAGCTGATGAGGCTCTGCTGAGGGTAAGCAAGTAACTCATAACTACCAGCAGAGTAGCCAGGCAGCATCTTTCACTGTCTGCCCAACTGCTCTGCAAGAGGTAAGAGTCCTTATTGGGAGAGTCTCTAGCTTTAATACAATAGCAGGTAATGGGCTCAGAAGGTCATTTTTGTTTTTCTTTTCCTGAGAAATGCAGGATTTGTGTTTTAGACAGGTGAGAAGTAATGTGTGTTTTCTGTGGTTTAAGAGGCAGTCGAACTTTTTCATTTCCATTTACATACATCTTGTTGGCAGAGCCCTGTGTTAAACCCTTAGCCTGAAGCAGATTTCTAAAGCAAACTTAAAATACAAAGCTCTTACTAAATTACATTTACAAAGGAAATGTTAGTGCAATATTAAATTATAATGGCAGGAGTAACTCCAGTATATTCTTAATGAGGCTCTTTAAAGTACTTAAACTGACAAAAAACACTTGTAAAGAGAAGCACAAAAACATCTTATTTCTGTTTAATGATAGATATTTGTCCTTCCATTGACCTTTAAACAAAAATAAATTTCAGTATACGGTTCTTTATTTTTGAAAATGACTTTAGCAGACAGACACTTACCTGTTGCAACATGACGTCCCATTCCAAATATGGCATAAATAATGACAGGGAAAAAAGATCCATATAAACCAAAAACTGGATGGACTGAAGACAAAATAGCAAAGGCCAGCCCTATAGAAAATTAAAGATAATTACTTCACTGTATGACGATAAAACTGTTCTGTTTGCTTTGTTGTTTTTTATTTTTATGAGGAAATGTCTACAATTTTATTAAGAGCAGGAAAAACTCACCTTCCTTTATTAAAACCTAGAGTGTATGTGAAGTACTGTACAATAAGGGTCAGAAATAACTATGGAAGGTTATTTCATTTCATCATCCAAATCCACATATCCTACCATGTTTCCAAGTTGTCTCCATTAGTGGTTCCAAGCCTCTTTCAATAGCCAGGCCTCACAGGAGGAGGCAGCAATGTCTTACCCCCACCCTCACAAACGTGGGTTTGAGACTGCCAGGCAGTCTCCAGGCGGTGGGATGGTTATTTCTTACAAATATTTCAAAACCTGTAATTTTGGTTTGGATAGAGCCCCTTCAGTCTGCTTTCTTCTAATTTCTTAAACAAAAAACTATTCCAGAGTTCATCTTCTTTAGGTGCCTGGGGTTTATAAGCCTCTAGACATTAACATTTCTTCCATCATGTAAATCTGTCAGTTCAGAAACAGAAAGTATTTGACTTTCACGTTGAGATGGAGAACGAACAGAATTGGTTCAGGTTTAACTTTATAGACTTACTAATTACCTTCATTGCTTAGCTACAGAGGACAGCATCCATCCTTTTCTTAGAAAGTCTTGGACAGGAACTCATCTTTCAACAGAAACATTCCTGCAAAGCAGCAGATTTGGTTGCTTTTCAACTTGAGATACCTAAGACAGCAAATCAGACTGCACTGGCTTCTTGCAAGTCGTCAGAAGGAGACTCCCCAGACTTCCTCCAGATCAGCAGGCTCCACAACCATTTCACAGCTCTTACTTCTGGAAACCAAGAGCAGGAGCACTTGCCTTGCACAGTTGCTCCATAAATTTTGGTGAATACCTCATCATGCAGTCTGGAAGAAAGGACTGGCCTGTGTAACACACAAGATGCCTTTCTCAAGTCCACCTTCAACCTGAGTGCACTCACGAGCCTAGGGCAGAGGTGCCTGCTCTGGGAGAATGAGCACCTGTGGTCTGTGACAGGAGATTCAGCTCTGTGCAATGGAGTTGCCTTCTGTGTACATGTGAAATCCCCAAAGAAAACTAAACCTGTAGGATTCATTCTTCTCACTGAGCTTTCCTAACTGCTCCAGAAAGCATTATTTGCCTGAATTGTTGGTGTTATGGGGCTTTGATAATATGGAGAGTGCCAAAGAGTGTCTTTGTTCATGGGTTTTCAGAGGCAATTCTGAACATTTTTATTCAAAATCTCCTTCTTACATTTTCATTTGAGTCTGTAACAAAGCACACGTGGTGGTAGGGGGGAGGCAAGAAAATACAAAAAGGTCAGAAGTGTCAAGTTCTCAGAGAAGCAGTTCATCTGTTCTTAGAAAAACCTCACAGTGAAGATTTTGCTGAGGTGAACCCTACATGGATCATTTTCATCCACATTGTGCTCAGCAACGTAGCACTATCAATTATGACTTGGAGAAGAGATATTTTTAAATCTGTTTAGTTTTAAATTTCTTTTAAACAGAAATGGACTTGGTTGCTCTTCAGCCTTATAATGAGTGCATCTACTGAGTCACTTCTGTATTTTTCTCTTAGCACAGCAGTACCATAATCCAGAAAGCTCTTTGAAATTGTAGTGTACTGTCCATGTTCACATGATCAATAGAGGTAAAAGAAGATTCTGAACCAAGAGCAACACAGAAGGGTGTGCCTGAGGAGAATAAAAACAGCATAGGAGAGAACTATGTGACCCAATCCAGATAAAATTGAGCATGGAGGAGGGGGGGGAATAGAGAATAGGAGAAAGAAATTTTTAAATCTTGTTTAACACTGGAAAGCTCCTCCATTTTAACCATTTTGAACATGAACAAAACCAAACAGAAAGAGAAAATTTGGAATTAATTTACTAGTTGAATACTATTCACACACATATTCCAGACTTGCAACAAAGCATTATGCTAGGCTAATTATTTGACTGTCCAAAAAGTGAAGGAATCAGAAAAATCAGTATAATTTCGGTCTCATTTTAATTATAACAACATAATTGAAATGGAGTAACCTGTCTGTGTGCTTCCCAAGCACAAGGGAATACACAAGGTTCCGTACTTAATGTTGAGCCAGATATGTACTTTAGAAGGTTTTTGGGAAGAGCCTTTTGATCCTGGTTATAGTTATAAATCCAGATTATCTGCTGCTGATAAATATCACTTGTTTACAGGCAGATAATCTGAGCTTAAATTTGGCCCTTGTTTTTCTCCATTTCATGCCTGGACTTTTCACATTTTGTATTAAGTTTCTAGAAGTAGTATGTCATTCTTTTTCATGGTGAGGTTGTGGCAATCAGGCCAGAGCTAAAACTACCAGCCTTTGACTTGAGTCCTGGCTCTGTTTGTTGGGTTTTTACTCCCATTACTGAAGCATGTGTAGCACTTACTGAAGTATGTAAGAGCAGAGGGGCATTATAAAATAGAATCAGTAAAAACTTCAGGTTTTCTTATTAGGCATAAAATGCTCTAAAGGTTCAAATACTTTTCAAGATGTAATCAGTAGTATATTTATGCTTATTTAATTAATTTTCATATTAAACTTCACTGCAATGCATTCTGTTTGCGCAAGAACTTTCCTGTCAAAAGACAGGAAACATTATTTTCTTTTTTTCATTCCATAGAGTAATACTTAAAGAAAATAGATCATAAAGTAAGGATCTCCCATAATCTTCACTGGTAATATGGAGAAACCCCCATGGCAGTGACATTAAGGTTTTCATATAAGAATATAAATTCCATGAAAAGAAATGCAAACAAATATTGAACAGTAAGTTTAGATACAGTACATTAATATTGTTTGTTTTAACTACCTCCTTATCATAAGATAACATTGTGGGACACACTTTCACTGAAAACCATGACCTGTGATTAGCACCAGGTGCTTTCCAGTCCTCTGGCACATCAGGCTGAAAAGCAAGAAATGTTGAACACTCGGTGTCATTGCAAGCAACTGCAAAATAACAAACTTGATACAAAGAGAAACAAGGCCATCTCCTGCCGCAGGAGAAAGGTCTCAGCTTGAGTTGGAAGTTTCTGCTAATTAGATTAGTGCCAAAACTACAGCAATAAAAAAATATTTTCCATAGGAAGAGCTATGAATCACCAGAGAATAGTCAACTAGTTAACAGTTCTCTGCATCTGGAAATATGTTCATGATACATACATCTGTTCTCAGGAAAACTCTACCACATCTTTTGGACATACTAGGTGCAAACCAGAAATTAAATTAGGAAGCAGGAAAAGTATTAAGCCTATAATTAATTTGAGGAGTAACAATATTAGTATCATTTAATATTTACTGTAAAAAGCTATATACATTTTAAAAGTTTTTCTGATGGAGTGTATATTCAAATAACTTTCTGTAAGTGTAACCTTTTACTCTTAAGTGTGTCTATTCTAAGATGGTCAGACCCCAGGTTTATGAAACCCTAAATGACACAAATTCATCTTATCCCACTCAAAAATGCTATCTGCATTTTTATTGTGGGCACTCTCTAATGCTTCAGAAAAATAGATTTTCTCCATTTCTTCTCCCTCTTCTCAAAAAGCTCTATTATGTAGTAAGAAGGGTATTTTCTGAGGATGCCCTAAAATGTAGAATTGACACATATTTAATCAGTCTTCTATCAATACTTCCTGGAGAACTAACAAATCAAACTAACCAATGACTCATATCCCAGGATTTAATTTCTAACTCCAGGATAGCTAACTTCTATTGAAGAAAAAACAAGAAAAGTTTTTTCCACCACAGGAAAACAATTAACATAGTTCAGAAAAGTTTTCCTACACAAACCTACAAGTTCTGGAGGGTTCTTTAACAATGGCTTTGTAAAAGCTCTTAACACAAAATGATCTTTTGGAAATAGTATCATTAACCTCCAAAAACTGTGCAGCTCAGTATCAGTTCTCTCAATGCACATTTGCTGGGGCTGCACAAGTGGATTGTGCCTTCTGTCTCACTTATTTGGTGACAAAGTACCAAGAGCTTAAAATCATTCCTTGGTTCTTCTGTCATTCAAAGCCTGAGGCAAATGAAGAATGTAAAGACAAAATAGAAGGACAGGCCCTCAAAAATGAACCATAAATCTTTCAGAGACCACACAATGTTGATTTGGCAACCCCCCTCTTTTTTTGAAGGATCCTTCAGTGCAGGTCCTTCCCATGCAGCTGTCTCCTTCAGCCTGGTGAGAGTTAAGCACTTCAGCTGTGTTAGCCATAGCACCCAAACTCACAGTGTTTCACAGATTCTGAAATGCAGCTCTCCCAATGTACCATGGAAAAGCACTTCAAAGGTGGATTTGAGAAAACACTGTGCTATTCTGCCACTTTACAGATCTCCAGATACTGACATTTGTATCTTAATGTTCAAAAGGAAAATATGCAAGAATTATGGTACAAGAAATAAGGGGATGGCATGACCAGCTTATGATTTCACTGTTCAAGACAGCTTGACCCTTCTATATGTAATAGATACATACAAAACAGAGCATTAAAAAACTCCTAGTGTTTTCTTTTCTTTCAATAGAGCTCCTCAAAAAAAAGCTATCAGCTACTGTCTCAGACAGACAATCTGAGATGAAATGTTAAGATCACTTTAGGATAAATTCAGCACCATATCTGAACACCACAAATATTTTATAAACTGCTTCACAGGGAATTCTATTATCCACTAGCCAGCTGTAATACTGGAAGAATTCAGCCACCTCCCGAAAAAAGGATTTTGAACGTGGATTGTAGGTAAAAATCTCTGTATTTCAGTAAGAATAAGCAGAGAATGAAGCCTTCAGAAGTTTCTGGCAAGCAGGTAACTATGAGGTGATCTTCTGAGAAGCATCAGTGCTGTGGAGAAACAAAAGCCTGTCATGAGTGATTTCAGGCCTGAATCCAGATGAGCTGGACTTGCTGAAATCCATGAAAAGGGC